AAACATATTGTAAGTAAATATTTTAGAGGTTAGGAGCAAATATAATGACCCCAAGATGCATCTGCTGACCAAGTTTCATCCAAACTGGATGATACATGTATTTGGAGAAGTTAGAACACGGAAATGAAAGTGTGACATTTACAAGTAAAAATATTGTTTTTCTTTATAAATATATGGATTATAACTCTGGTGCTAAGTTTGATAATAAACTGATACTATTTGTGGGACTTCAAGTTCCATCTTAATCAGATTATATTTAGGAAAGTGAGTGCACAAAAACTGACCGACAAATGAAATGAAAGGATATCTAATTAGTATACATATATATTAACAGATGATGCTGACTGCTGAACCCAGTCTTTTGTGCCCTAATGTTCATCTGCTGACCAAGTTTTATCTAAATCGGATTATATTTAGGGAAGTCAGAGCACGGAAATGAACCGACCAATGAAATCAAAGGATACCTCATTTGTATGCATAATTATTAACAGGTGACATTGATAGTCAAACTCAGTCTTAATGACCCCAGGATGCATCAGCTGACCAACTTTTACCCAAATTGTATGATATATGGGGAAGTTAGAACACGGAAACGAAAGTCTGACAGTGGGACAACCCCAAATTAATATCCCTCGTTTCGGTGAAAGCGGGGGATAATAAATGTCTTGTGCTTACAGAGTCAAAACTGCCCTACTTTAAAGATGACAGAGACTTAATTGCAAAGGGGTAAATGTTCTCTATTGTTTATGCCTTAAAACTTATTGTTTGGGAGGTGAGGGAGGGTAGGCTGGCTACCAGCCCCTAAGTCGGGGGTTGCCGTTTCCATTTCCAGTAATTAGACAGGTACTTTTTTATTTCCTTTTTCCCACTTCACCTCCTATGGGAACGTGACGTAATACGATTACTAGAAGTGGTGATAGGGTTTACGTAAATGGATCTCACTGTAACATAACAGGATCAACAGGATATGTTGACAGGAATCATTAGGACACAAAGGGAGGTAATTCATCTTTATTATTCAGTCATTCAAACCGCAATTAGTGGGAATAGATCGGATTGGACGACGTGTTGTGTCACGGTTGTTAATACTGTATAATAAACAGGACCGAGTAGTATTACTGAATCTTGTTATTGTTGTGGTGAACTCAATAGTGAATGTGTGCTGTGGGGATTATAATCGCAGTTTTAACAGCACAACTACTGCTCAGGACCTGGCTGGATTAAGGTCACGTGAATAGAGTGACTAACGAGATTACATGAACATGATAGACGAGAGCATTACAGGATTTACTTTAAGAAATTTACACACTGACTTACAAAGACAATTTAACATTACAGTATTATATTGTTAATGGTAACTATACAGACGTGTTAAATCCGTGATGAAATCTAAGAAGTTTAGAATTGTTGATTGTTTACTGTTAGACATGTACTTTGTGTTTCCATATCATCGTGTTCCATGTCTTAAATAGTGATTAACATGACAATTTACATATATAGAGAAAGGGAGATATTTAATGGTGTACTGTTAAATATCACTGATATTTCACGATTATGACAGAACATCTACATTGTTCACATGTACGAATCACGATTGAAAAATATAGGTATATTCTGTCATACGTGAGATCTTTGATTAAATTTTCTTTTTATTATATCTTAAAAGAAAAACAAAGACGAAAAGCAAGACGAAAACGATTCAAACGTACAGTAAAAAGATAAGAGCGTTCTTTGTCGTTAGATTGTTTGATGTTTCGCTTGACAACAAAATGGCGTCATTTTCCATCGGCTTTTTTTCATTTTTGAAGTTTTTTCATCTTATTCCGTTATCTAGTAAGAATTGTTACATAATTGTTTTTAAATACCAAATTAGAGAAAACATATGTATGCGGGAATTATTTGATAGAGAAAAACGACTTATTCAACCTTCGTTCCCTTTGCGCCCGGACAAGGAGGTCGGCGAACGGCAACGCAGTTACTAGAAAGTGGCCCTGGTTGGTCAAAACCACAGAAGTCATCTCATCACTCGAAACATTTAGTGACGTTTATATAATCTCAGTTATCAGTGATTTATATGTTTTTATCAAGTTGATAAGTTCCTATATTTCACTGAAATAATATACTAATCTTCTATATATTACAGATCATAAGGGGATTCCCAATGACATTTTTCGATCGTTATATATTATACTGATGTATTTTGCCTTTTATATGAGTGATCCTAATGTGTCCACTGTAAAAATATCCGGTATGTATAATACCAATCCAGTGTGTAAAGAAACAAAATATATACATAAACCGCCTCGACGTGATCGACGCAAGTCTGTCAAACTTTACGCACATGATCATCCCAGTGATTTGTTTGGAAAACAAATTTCAGTAGAAGATTGGTTTCATTATTAGCACGAGGACAATAATGATGACATCAACAAAACAAACGTTGGAAAATGTAGCTGCTGTATTGATGAAAGAGTTTTAGTAAGAAACAAAATTGTGGAGTGTATGGTTTGATGTTCAGTGTATAGGATTACATTATATTTAAGGTAGCCCGTTTGTTTACACATTTGTTGTTATATTTATACACACGTATATGACTTGTTTATTGATGGCTAGCTACAATGGTTGGCAGCTGGTTGAAAGCCAGTGTAAATACAGCACCTGTAACCAACCGGCCTATTTATATCACTATAACTGATTTGAAGATTGTGTTTTACCTACGTTTAACAAAACGTTTTGCTGTATTGTGTTTCATAAGTCAAGATGGCTGGATGTTAATAAAGTGAATTTTATTACTTCTAAAGTATTCATTATACATGTACCTGTAAAATCTCATCTCATTTATAGAGCATTTCCATGTCCACCTTATCAATTTTTTAACTATGATATCAACTATTTATAAATTTGCAAAATAAGATATCAGTCTAATCACTGTTAATATTTATATGTTTATAAAAAGCTTATAATAATGGATTGGCGGCAAATAGGAGATTTATCATTAATTCTTAAAAAAAACGAAAGTAATTTCCGAATTCTTCTTCGAGATAAATGTTTTTGATATAATCTCGTAATATCTTATTATCTGTGTATTGATGCATGCAGGTTTAGACGTCCATGTTCAAAACGACTGAGAACGGAAAACGGATCTACGTAAAATTCTATCAGGTGCAGACAAAAAAATCCCCTGTTGTCTGGTCTTAGATCAGAATTATACTGTTATATAGTTCTCTGTATTTTCTAATAAAATTAATAATTTCCTTTATAAACAAACGATATGATAGATACAATGTATGTAGCACATATGATATGTACTTTTCAGTACAAAGATGCTTAGTACATAAAGATCACTTGATCCAGTTTAACCCAAAAATTAAATACAACTTTTTTTTTTATTAAATTTCTTTCAGATAAGTGCCAGTTTTAAAATATTCATGGAAATAATACATTATAATAACCAATCTAAATGTCATGTATTTGGTACCAAATGACCAGATTCCCCTAGAAAGTGAATCCCAGGACTTATAGTTTTATTAATCGAAAGAACTCTTTATTTGGTATTCTAAAGAAAAACACCGAAAACCAATAATTATTTCGCGTTTGTCTACCATATGCTGGAATATGTTTTTGAGTATGTTCAGTGATAAATGCATCATGATTCCGGTAACATGTCCAATGTATGTTGTATTTATCCCTCGGGTTTGTATTTTTAACCGTTTGTATAGACATGTTCATTTTCCCAAGCGAGAAGTAGAAATTATGTATTATCATATTGCATGAAGACATAACCAGACAAAACTGAAATATGCATGACCTGTTTGTCTGATCTTATAATTGATATATTAACTATATGCTTAAGTGCTTACAACGAAGTCTTAATAAAAAACACGATTAGGAAAATTTCTGTTGATCAGATCTATAGTGGAAAACATTACGCTGTATTAAAATTATTCATTATCTTATAAGGTCACCTTTAAAATTGCTTCATAATTAATCATTTCTTCTTATTTCATTTCAGAGGAACATAACATTTAATTTATGCCTTAAAAATGTGGTGCGTTTATTATTGAAAGCTTTCAGTATTTATGATTATCATTGAATAACTTGTTTTAACTTGTTTAGACAAAAAGGTGATAAGTATGTTGTATGGAAGGCTAATAAATTGTAACTCCTCGTTATAGTATGTACACGCGCAATACCGTGAAGTATTTAGAATATGTTTGATATTCACCATAAACAATAGTCACATGCGTTTTATTTCACATTTTCAAAAGACATGAATTAGTTATCGTATTACCGTCAGATAAGTAACTAACCGGTAAATCTACTTTTGATAATTATGTCCTAATTAGATCATACACAAAGTGCCGACAGTTTTACGTGATATACCCAAGCCCACCCCAACTTGTCACGCCCATTGATATAGAGGAGGGGACGGGCCACTAGGCCTGGACAACTAAAACAACACAAGTTTTAGGTGGAAGTTGAGCTATTCATTAAGGTGCCGTGTTATATAAACAATTACTTGTTTATACTACTCGACATATGTGACTGCTTTGAGAAACAATATGCTGTCTATTTACCTCTAATTTGTGATTACAACTGTAGAGCGGCAAATCGAAGGTGTCAAAATTTAGTGAATGGTGTTTACGGTAGGAATCAGCAATTAGAATGTACGTTAAAAGTCTCCATGTCTAACGTAACAAGCTCATAACAGCTTATCACACCGGAGGTGACGCACGCGCATACACATTTCATTAGGAACTGGAGAAAACAACCACTGACAACCACGCTTGGACATATACATCGTTCCGGAGAATAAGATCCGTGACAGACAAGCTTGGCCATCGTCAAACAGGAAACACTCTAATGCAGATGTGACAGGAAAACATTTTGTACAGACATAATTTACCAAAAAACCTTTTTCATCAGTACTGCAACAACATATTTTCCTCTGAATCCACAGGATTTAAACTTATCACCAAGCTAAAATTAAACCAAGCGCAATGGTTCTTGAAAGAAACATAAATTTATTGCACAAAAAACAAGCTTTCACTATCGAGAGCTTAGCTAGGAGCAGCCGGGACGAAAGTAATGGACCGACAACTTTTAGGGGCGATACAGTGTTTCATGGCATCAACAGGAGTTTGGAAGGAATTGCTTTGGGATATTTAAATAAGGCGGCTCCTACCTCGCCTAACCTTGACCGCTTGACACCCGTGTCGGATCCAGGTTACAAGTCACTCAACGGTACGCCGTCTAAGTCAGAAGAAGATGCGCCGTCCAAACGCCGGCGCTGTAGCTCCGGAAGTGACGAGGCAACACACATTACTAATAGCTGCAGCAGCAGCCCAAGTGATGTCAGCTACGACTCAATTAGTCCATACACTTCCGGTAAGTTATGAATTTATCATTCAATGCATACTAAGTCAAATACCACAGTCAGCAATCCTCGACCACTACAGAATTTGATTATCTATATAAAAACAGTAACACGTTGTAATATCAGGCAGTAAACATGGACCCACCAATATTTATTTCTCTACGAATCATTTCTACAGATCCTGATAATTCGTATATACTAGATTTAAATTTAAAAAAGGAGGAGGGTTAGTAAACCAGCTACATCTATTCTTTAATTTCTTTGTTCTGTTGTTTATATCAACTATAATGGACAAACCGAAGATTCAATATTACACGAAAACAGTGATTCACCGAATTAACTTCGTAGCAATGTAAGGGAGGTAACTCGTATAATAAACCAGTACTAAAATGTTTATATGTATTATGTTAGTGGCAATGAAACTTGCAGTATAATACATTTCACTTTATTAAAATAACAAATACACCTATCAATTAATTTAATTCCACAACAAAATTCATTTGAATGTTGATTGATAGATGATTATTGTTTTAAATGTATTTTTGTTGTATCAAATATTACAGTGGGGATCGGACACAATAATTCCCAACAATATAAAGCCTTCTTCAAAAAATGATACACAAAACCTTAATATATCAAATTAAGGACTTTTATATGGGGAAAATAGGTAGGTAGATCTGGTGTGTAAAGAAATAAAGAATATCAGAAGGGATCAAGGGAAGGTCCGTTCCAAGTTCACTAATGATGATTAATCCGAAAGTATCATTTACTTGATGATGGACAATTTTATAGAAATACTGAAAAACTATCCGTCGGCAAATTGTTTATCATTATTTATTTTATGTGAACGGATTGGCATTAACGTAATTATAATCACTTGAGTTGAAAACATCAAATATTTAAAATCGTTTTCGTAGAAAATGCTACATGCACCCCAACACCCACACCCGGTTTAAATCAAAACATATCGAAATATTAATAACGGTTTTTTGTCGTAATAAAAGTCAGATTTTGGTGCAATCAGATTCCTGTATGCTATACTCCTTTAATCTCAGTTACAGTCTCAATGATATGTGTGAATCTATGTAGATCTAATTTCCTATAACCCAATTGTATTTTGACAGACACTGAATCTTTCTTGGAAGACCAGAGCCGGAAGAAGAAAGCACGCACGGCATTCTCTAGTGAGCAAGTATACGGGTTAGAACAGCGTTACCAGGTACAGAAATATCTACCCTCCATAGAAAGGAGTAAACTCGCCAGAAAACTAGCCCTCACAGACCAACAGGTACGTAAATAAAAACGAAATGATAGACAACCCCCCCCCCCCCCGAAAACCTAACATTCTGGGATCTCTACGTTGTTTTTATGTTTTATATGATATCATGGAACTGAGCTGTTGATAATTATATAATAGATAACACTGGCTTTGGTGTATATGAGTTGATTTGAAGGCTTTATTAGGCATTAAATCTCCTATTTCTGTTAAAATAAGATTTTGTTTACATCATACATGTAATACATGATATCATATACAAGATGATAAACATTTTCTTTTATTTCAGGTGAAAACCTGGTTTCAAAACAGGCGCATGAAAGAAAAGCGCCACCAACGAGATGAGGAACAGACACGCAATTTTTTTCTGCCAACAGGTGGCGTAGACATCGCTCAGCTACACGCTATGGGAATGCCATGTCCCCCACCATACAATGCCCAGTCCCCAACTGTAGGGCACATGTTCCCCAACCCCGTCAGCAACACTATGTCAGGGTATCAGTTTCAGTCACCAACACACATGACACCGTCATCCAGTGGACCGGACCGATTTCATCTACATTCGAGTACTTTGGGCTATTCACCAGTAATTGGACCTCTGCCAGTGTTCTCGAATCCCTCCCCGATTTCTCGACATGCACTTTCATTACCAATGCCTAGGACCAGTACCCCGGTGTCCAAATCTCAAACGATTTTACCTGAGACAGGGGGACATTCTTCAGCGTGAAGTTATTGACTACTTATTAAATATTTATGCGATATAAATTGTCCGTATTTTTGTTATTAATTTGTTATGCAATTTATTAATTGTGCCAAATTGAAGCTCTGAATAAAAATCATGTATACTACGTTGTTATGTATCTTCTTTACAATAACTTCGACATTGTTGTACTCAAATGTTACTCAATTCACCTGACACAACGGTGACCAAAAGCGTCATAGTTCTGTGGCGTGTTAGGGTTAATACTTACATTATTGATATGACCAAGTGATATTTTTGAACGGGGTTTATGAACACTAAAACAAACGCCCAGTGTTAGCTTTTCACCAGAAACGTGTCATTCGATCGCTTTCCCAACGTTCTCATCGGCGCTCACCGTTGTATAATCTTAATTGTTCTCTGTAAGTCGGATTTGACATTTTATTTTCTGTCCTTTGAAATGTCCTTTTGTCAGCTGTTTTGTTTTATCCATCGGTCTTAGAACTGACCATCATAAATCACAACGAATTGGAGACCAATGAAACCGACATATGAATATCAGAAATAATCGGTTACCTCCTCAGAAAGCATGGCAGTAAAAACTTAAAATCAAGATGACGGCCTGTTTGCCTTTATTCAGGTCCATTCCAGAATTTAATGCTTCTAAAAATAGCTATAACGAACAATATCTGTCGAGCATATTGTATTTTAAAGCTGTCCGAAAATAGGCGATGTAATAAGAAGGGAGACAACAAGACGGTAAGACATCCGAATTTTTAGGATGTTCCATCCACTACTGGTCTCATGTGTCACGTGACGGTTCAGGAGTAAGGACGTGTTGAACACGCCTCTGTCTGTGTGGTGGGTAATTTTTCATATTCATCCACTTGGAGTCTACTTCTACCGACAACCAGATTAGATCAGGTATCCATATATGGAGCATGTTTGAAAAAAATGGCACCAACGGACGAGGTGACGGCAATCGATGTTATGTACGTTCCTACTTTGGCGGGATCTTCTCAAACTAAGTTTGCGGGAAAGAAACTGGACAGCACCTTTTCTAGACGGAGAAAACGAAATCAGGTCTATCAGCCGTTTTGGCACATAAGGTAGAGTAACGTCGAAGCTCAGTGAACTGAAATTTCGTAAAGGCGTGCAAGAATAGGTTGAAAAACTTGTCCGTCACTCGCGACAGGACTTAACACTTTGCCATTCGTTACCTACCAATAATAGAAACTTCAACTGCCAAAGTTCAAGATGGCCGCTTGGTGGCTGTTTTGTTTTTCACTAACAACTTCAGGTATTATCGATATCTCGAAATACTGTAAGGTGTTGTTATTATTACAGATATCGTGTAACAAGGGTCTGAGTCAGACTCGTTAGGTTGGTATATATATATATATATAAAGATGTTTAACTTTAGCACAAACACCTACAGTGTGCAATCACTGTTTGTCCTGAATAGATACATATTCCTAAAATTAAACGGTGAGTGTTTTGTCTTGTACGATATGAAATAGTATATGGTGTTATAATCTGTATCACAGTACAATAACATGCTGTTGTTACTTATATCACAGTACAATAAGATGGTGTTATAACTTATATCACAGAACAATAAGACGGTGTTATAACTTATACCACAGTACAATAAGACGGTGTTATAACTTATATCACAGTAAAATAAGATGGTGTTATATCTTATATCACAGTAAAATAAGATGGTGTTATAACTTATACCACAGTACAATAAGATGGTGTTATAACTTATACCACAGAACAATAAGACGGTGTTATAACTTATACCACAGTACAATAAGATGGTGTTATAACTTATACCACAGTACAATAAGACGGTGTTATAACTTATACCACAGTACAATAAGACGGTGTTATAACTTATACCACAGTAAAATAAGATGGTGTTATAACTTATACCACAGTACAATAAGACGGTGTTATAACTTATATCACAGTAAAATAAGATGGTGTTATATCTTATATCACAGTACAATAAGATGGTGTTATAACTTATATCACAGTACAATATAAAGGTGTTTTTCTTTAATCTTTGTGCTGTGTTACCTGTAAAGACAATAGATGAATGGACCAGTCTCTTTCATTTGCGGCGAATTTATGAAATCGTATCAATGAAGAAGAAACAATGGAAGAAAGTAATAAAGTCATGAATAACATTACAGTAACAATTGACAATTGACAAATAAGACCATTCGTTCAAAAGATAGATTCGTGTTAGAAATTTCATTGTTTGAATATTGATAAATTTGGTTAAAGTTTGATAATAGTTCTCGGTTCATAGAACTTTACCCTCGATGACAACATATACTTAACAGCAATTTATTGAACTGTGTTGTCGGACGCATGTTTCATCACATATGTTATTAACTATGTGTTTTTATCGTAACATTAAATGTCTAAAATACCTTTTTGAAAATGTTGAGATTTGTAAAATTCTACATTACCTGAAAGATGTTGGTCTATATAATAGACTATGACGTACCATTTTAATATTTTGTGTTAACATACCCATTTAAGATTTTTAGCACTTGTCTTTTACATTTTGGTTTGTTTAATGTTATTTCTTTTTGTGTGTTTTACCGTTTGATGGCCCTAAAGACCTTTTATGGGCTGACGGGCCATTAAGAATGTAATGATAATGATAATAATAGATATCGCTACTTTTCTGTCACTCATTCAACGTGATAATACAGTTATCCCCCTTGCCAACGCACCTGCCTAGAATGTTTGACACTAGTGTCGCTTTGACCAGGTATGACCTCATTTAACAGTGAATCACTACGCGTTATAGTAAATTAGTATCCACTGAACTTAATTTAATATCACACTTTGCCTCATTACAACTTTATTTACACCATACAATATTAATACATATTACAACAGAAATAGTTTAAAATCATGCTTGTTTTTTTGTATCTCTCTATTTGAATCGGGGACTATTTTTCATATACCTGCTTTCAAACGGTACAGGTGAGATGACTAACTAGCGGAAGTGAAGTAACGTAATGGCGACCTAAGATGTTGTTGTTCCAGACCAAGATGAAAACAGAATTTTGGTGGTTGCTTTTCCTGGTGACACCAATTGTTCAGGTGTCCGGAGATGTGTGTAAGTATATTAAGTCGATGAACCCTAGCGTGATTTAATTGGTCCTGTGCAGTACAGTAAGACGATACAGGTAAACAAGAGACTCCCCCCCCCCTTCCTAATTTTGAACAGCCTCACCCTACCGCCAGTTTAAAGCCATATATTGTGCTAATGGATACAAGACCGTATTCACGACAACTTCAGTAGATATCTACACCTCGTAAAATTAAGCTGTGCATCCTTTCCTTCAATCACGGACTTTGCTTTAGATCCACCTATATTTATATTGTAGATAGGTAGACAAGAATACTTATATGTTTTTCGACTTGTTATTTTGTTCACAGCAGCCACAGGTGAGTTTATGTGTTGTTTGATGTAACTAACTTGATGTTGTTGTTTATGTAACGTGTTTTATGCCTGCTAGACTTTACCAAGTCGGGGAAAACCACAATGTTGTGCAATATATATTACGCAAACGGGTCATTATACGTCTATTGAGGTATAAATAGCCAAAATCACTTCAGGCTCCGCTTTTATATTTTAGTCAAAATTGCATTTATTTAGTCATAAAAATGCACAAATAACATTTATTTTCGCATGACATATTATCAAAAACAGATACAGTACTTTCAACCTTCATGTCCTATGTTACAATAGTACAGTTACTACAGCAGAGGTTGTTACATCAAGTTTCTAAGTAGCCAGCACTTTCAGTAAATATCTTTTAGTAAAGAAATATTTTCCTTGTTTTGAATTTATGCAACTTGATAGTATTTAACTGTTAAACAATTTCGGCTATTTTTAGTAACAAATACCAATTGGCGTATATTAGGCCAGTTTTTTATTTGCTTATTATATGCACCTCTGTGATTTTCCTTGACCTGATTACTGTTGAGAAAAATGTTTCAATGCACACTTTCAGTATGTAGCCCTTTAAATACTAGCCAATATACTGCTCAACAAGAGAGAACTTCTCTTCAGCACGATTGGTTGAGAATATGACTTGTAATCCAGAGGTTCCATATCGGATCCCTAGTGGTGGCATTGAAATAAATTGTACCTCTTAAACATGCATTGGCAAAAACAGTTTGGTTACCAGTATATGTGAAAGACGTAGGTACATCTAGTCCCATACAAGTGATGCATAGCAAATTTGTTTCACTGAGAAACACTGAACTTGGTCTTTCTCAGCACTCGGTACTGAAACATTTATTCTTTCATTTGGACCCTCTTCATTTTGTTTATTCAGGAAATCTAATACTAATAAGTTTTCTTGTTTTTTTTTTTGAAAATTTCGAAAGTCAATATATTTTAAAACCCATGGGTCAGAATTCATGCAGTTCCTGGAAATTCCTTGAAAAACAGAAAAGTTGAAAACGAAAGAAGCTGTGTATGAACTATGTTATTTGTAAGTCTAAGATATATTCTGCTGTAGGGTCTTAAATAGTAAGAAACATGTTAAGTACATGAATTTGCTATGTATTGCACATTTTTATGAGGTTTTCCCATTTAATTGATATGATTACGACTATGTGACCTCACAATCACTATCCATACATTTGTATAGATGTTCTACCCCACAAAAGTCAAGAGTTTTGTGAATGAGTTTTGAGTGTTATCACATGTTACTAACTTTCTACAATTACATATATGGAAATGTTAATTAAGAAAGTAAAATTTATTAAAAGGACACAAATGAAACACTTTCAAATGAATTTCTGCCAATTTTTCCAAGGAAATATCAAATTTAACATATGAAAAGATTTCAAAATCAACTTCTGAGTTTTGTAGAAAGTATAAATTTGTTAGTCATGAACCTGTGCTGTGGAAGATATTTTAACTAAGCATAAAGAATTGCATGATGTAAAATGTTTGTTGTATATCAAAGATATATATCAGATATGCTTATTGAAATGAAATACAGGTAACAAAAACAATTTTGTACAATATCAGAAAACAAAGCAATGAACACAAACATGTACAGTACAACCATGTAGAAGTCTTACAAATCAGTTTACTCTAAATGAAAAATGTTTCCTTTTTGAAACATTACAGAAAGGTGAGTCACTTTAAACCTGCTATGTTTGTAATAATATTAAAGACATTACCCTATTTCTATTATTGACAGTTTTGCGATGGTGCGTGACAAATCGTGCTGAGGAAACAAAATGCAAGGCTTTCGAGATGGCAGTAGCATTACTGAAAGTTGAAGGGACATACCTTGGGAACGTTGTGCCATCCTGTGTGAAGGGGGCAGATAGGTGAGTGTTCACTAGATGTTATTAGATATTTGTGTGATCACAGTTTTAAGTTTAAGTGGTACTCAATAATGTCATGAGAAAATAAGATCTAGAATTTAAAAGCTAGAGAAAAAGCTGTTCTGGACCTTTTAATTTAAAAAAAAGAATTATTTTTTTTACAGCTATGATTGTATGAAATTGATACAAAATGGTGATGCCGATGTCATGGCCCTGGACACTGGTCAAGGATACTTCGCTGGCCATCAACACAACATGATGCCTTTCCTGGCTGAGACATACAGGTCTCGATCATTACACTACTACTCTGTAGCTGTGGTGAGATCCAATGATCTATCCCTAACCATCCACAACCTGAAGGGGAAAAGAGTTTGCTTCCCAGGTTGGTTTTTTGATGACTATCTATAGAACCATATCTATTACAATTTCAACAGTCAGTTGCAGAGAAATATTTGATTTTGTTTTTAATAACTATGAAAAATAACTTTTGAGTTATTGCTGTTATGTTTCTTGTAGAATAATAACACATTTGCAGAATTTAACAAATAAAGATTGCAAACTTAGTTCACTAATTGACCAGTCAAACAGTATGATAAAAAAACATAAAATAAAAATAGAACAAAATGTGTTTTCAGTAAAAGCATACTTTCCTTGAGTATGGCAAATATCTTATATGCTCTACACTTGTGAGAGATCCCAATCTGATCATGACACATTTGTTATTATTGAAAACAATGCATAAAATCTCAATTGTTATGACAAATTAATGAATGACTGCACACAAACAGTACCCATATAAACTGTATTTCATGAAAGATTTGATGCTATTTTATCACATAACAAGAATTTGATATTCCAACTTCTAGACTGGTTTTCACAGGGACAATATAGCTGTAAAACAAGCATTACAACAAAATATGTTGACATTATAAAATCTCTGATAAATAGGGGACGGGCTGGGTGAGTAGATTGTAGTATATACAGACATTGATATGGGGACTGGCTGGGTGTGTAGTATATATAGACATTGATATGGGGACTGGCTGGGTGTGTAGATTGTAGTATATACAGACATTGATATGGGGACTGGCTGGGTGTGTAGTATATACAGACATTGATATGGGGACTGGCTGGGTGTGTAGTATAGACAATATACAGACATTGATATGGGGACTGGCTGGCTATATAGACTAGTATATACAGACATTGATATGGGGACTGGCTGGGTGTGTAGTGTATACAGACATTGATATGGGGACTGTATATACAGACAGACATTGATATGGGGACTGGCTGGGTATGTAGTATATACAGACATTGATATGGGGACTGGCTGGGTGTGTAGATTGTAGTATATACAGACATTGATATGGGGACTGGCTGGGTGTGTAGTGTATACAGACATTGATATGGGGACTGGCTGGGTGTGTAGATTGTAGTATATACAGACATTGATATGGGGACTGACTGGGTTATATAGACAAGTATATACAGACATTGATATGGGGACTGGCTGGGTGTGTAGATTGTAGTATATACAGACATTGATATGGGGACTGGCTGGGTGTGTAGATTGTAGTATATACAGACATTGATATGGGGACTGGCTGCGTGTGTTAGATTGTAGTATATACAGACATTGATATGGGGACTGGCTGGGTGTGTAGATTGTAGTATATACAGACATTGATATGGGGACTGGCTGGGTGTGTAGATTGTAGTATATACAGACATTGATATGGGGACTGGCTGGGTTATATAGACAAGTATATACAGACATTGATATGGGGACTGGCTGCGTGTGTTAGATTGTAGTATATACAGACATTGATATGGGGACTGTGCTGGTTTATAGTTTGTAGTATATACAGACATTGATATGGGGACTGGCTGGGTGTGTAGATTGTAGTATATACAGACATTGATATGGGGACTGGCTGGGTATATAGACTAGTATATACAGACATAGACTAGTATATACAGACATTGATATGGGGACTGGCTGGGTGTGTAGTAGACATGTATGGGGACTATATAGACAGTATATACAGACATTGATATGGGGACTGGCTGTGTATATGGGGACTGGCTGGGTATGTAGACTGTAGTATATACAGACATTGATATGGGGACTGGCTGGGTGTGTAGATTGTAGTATATACAGACATGGGTGTGTAGATTGTAGTATATACAGACATTGATATGGGGACTGGCTGGGTGTGTATAGATAGTATATACAGACATTGTATGGGGACTATATATATACAGACATTGATATGGGGACTGGCTGGGTGTGTAGTGTATACAGACATTGATATGGGGACTGGCTGGGTGTGTAGATTGTAGTATATACAGACATTGATATGGGGACTGGCTGGGTTATATAGACTGTAGTATATACAGACATTGATATGGGGACTGGCTGGGTGTGTAGTATATATACAGACATTGATATGGGGACTGGCTGGGTGTGTAGATTGTAGTATATACAGACATTGATATGGGGACTGGCTGGGTATATAGACTAGTATATACAGACATTGATATGGGGACTGGCTGGGTGTGTAGATTGTAGTATATACAGACATTGATATGGGGACTGGCTGGGTGTGTAGATTGTAGTATATACAGACATTGATATGGGGACTGGCTGGGTGTGTAGTATATACAGACATTGATATGGGGACTGGCTGGGTGTGTAGATTGTAGTATATACAGACATTGATATGGGGACTGGCTGGGTTATATAGACAAGTATATACAGACATTGATATGGGGACTGACTGGGTTATATAGGCAAGTATATACAGACATTGATACGGGGACTGGCTGGGTGTGTAGATTGTAGTATATACAGACATTGATATGGGGACTGGCTGGGTGTGTAGATTGTAGTATATACAGACATTGATATGGGGACTGACTGGGTGTGTATATACAGACATATATATATACAGACATTGATAGTATATACAGACATTGATATGGGGACTGGCTGGGTGTGTAGATATAGTATATACAGACATTGATATGTAGATTGTAGTATATACAGACATTGATATGGGGACTGGCTGGGTGTGTAGATTGTATATACAGACATTGATATAGTATATACAGATATATGGGGACTGACTGGGTGTGTAGATATATACAGACATTGATATGGGGACTGGCTGGGTGTGTAGATTGTAGTATATACAGACATTGATATGGGGACTGGCTGGGTGTGTAGATTGTAGTATATACAGACATTGATATGGGGACTGGCTGGGTGTGTAGATTGTAGTATATACAGACATTGATATGGGGACTGGCTGGGTGTGTAGATTGTAGTATATACAGACATTGATACGGGGACTGGCTGGGTGACATTGATATGGGGACTGGCTGGGTGTGTAGATTGTAGTATATACAGACATTGATATGGGGACTGGCTGGGTTATATAGACTGTAGTATATACAGACATTGATATGGGGACTGGCTGGGTGTGTAGATTGTAGTATATACAGACATTGATATGGGGACTGGCTGGGTATATAGACTGTAGTATATACAGACATTGATATGGGGACTGACTGGGTTATATAGACAAGTATATACAGACATTGATATGGGGACTGGCTGGGTGTGTAGATTGTAGTATATACAGACATTGATATGGGGACTGACTGGGTTATATAGACAAGTATATACAGACATTGATATGGGGACTGGCTGGGTGTGTAGATTGTAGTATATACAGACATTGATATGGGGACTGGCTGGGTGTGTAGATTGTAGTATATACAGACATTGATATGGGGACTGGCTGGGTGTGTAGATTGTAGTATATACAGACATTGATATGGGGACTGGCTGGGTGTGTATATAGACTGTAGTATATACAGACATTGATATGGGGACTGGCTGGGTGTGTAGATTGTAGTATATACAGACATTGATATGGGGACTGACTGGGTTATATAGACTGTAGTATATACAGACATTGATATGGGGACTGGCTGGGTGTGTAGTGTATACAGACATTGATATGGGGACTGGCTGGCTATATAGACTAGTATATACAGACATTGATATGGGGACTGGCTGGGTGTGTAGATTGTAGTATATACAGACATTGATATGGGGACTGGCTGGGTGTGTAGATTGTAGTATATACAGACATTGATATGGGGACTGACTGGGTTATATAGACTGTAGTATATACAGACATTGATATGGGGACTGACTGGGTTATATAGACTGTAGTATATACAGACATTGATATGGGGACTGGCTGGGTGTGTAGATTGTAGTATATACAGACATTGATATGGGGACTGACTGGGTATATAGACTGTAGTATATACAGACATTGATATGGGGACTGGCTGGGTGTGTAGATTGTAGTATATACAGACATTGATATGGGGACTGGCTGGGTGTGTAGATTGTAGTATATACAGACATTGATATGGGGACTGACTGGGTTTATAGACTGTAGTATGTACAGACATTGATATGGGGACTGGCTGGGTGTGTAGTATATACAGACATTGATATGGGAACTTGCTTGGTATATAGACTGTAGTATATACAGACATTGATATGGGAACTTGCTTGGTATATAGAACTAGTTACATTACTTTGACACTGTGTTATACAGGTATTGGTATGGGAGCTGGCTGGGTGTATCCTATGGGCCTGATGTTGGAGGCCAATATGATCCCCATTCAGGAGTGTAATGCTGTAGTGAAATCTGTTACTGATTTCTTTGGTGACATGTGTTTGCCTGGTGCCCTATCATCATTCTACAATCCCTTTGGTGAGTATAAAAGTTAAGCTTTTAGATAAAATTACTTAACACATGTGAGTGTTTCAGACATAAAAAATTCAATTTGCTGAAATTAGAACTTTATAACAGAAACAGTTGCATAATTTTATATTTCAAGTGTTAAAAGTATCGCAAATAATTATCTGAAAAATTATTTCAGTATAGCAGGAAAAAAGTTTCCATAACTCAAACTTAGATAATAAATTGTTTTTTACTTTTTACAAGATCATGAAAATAAGGAAAATCACATACTTAATCACTAATGAAATTTAGCATCTCCTTGTGCAACAATGGATAAATGAAACTAACGGTATTGTGATAGCGACAATTTGCTGAATTGCATTGTATATTGGTTGATCTTGGAATACTGTTGATTTTACATATACAGTGTTACACAAGAGGTACCAGTATTTATTCCACTTCAGAGTTGATTCAGTCAGCAATTTTCCTTATTTTCTTGATTCTGTTGAAAGTTGTAGAATTTTGGAGACTTTTTCTGTTTGAATGGCAGATAACCAGCCTTTATGTGAAAACAAACAAAAACAAGACAAAAAATTCTGTTGCAGTTAGTTAGATGTAAACCCATACATTTACTGAACTAATATGTTTTCTGTACACTGTTTGTCAGGAAGCTCTGGGGATAATCTTAGTGGTTCCTGTTAACCATCCACCTTAGAAACAAGAAAAACATTACAAGATATAGGATGTAAAATATGAATGGCATATGTGTCTTAATTGTTTGAAATGTTTGATTTGATTTTTTCTCCTTGCCTAGGTAACAATCCGACATCCATCTGTAAACTGTGTACTGGTGTACTAGAGGAACGGTGTTCCACCTCTGACCCCTATGCTGGATATGATGGTGCCTTCAACTGTTTGAAGTCAGGACAAGGTGATATAGCTTTCCTTCGACATGACACAGTGGAGATGATGCTTACAAACAGCACAGAGCAGTTACAGGTAGGTCAAGATCATGATTGGTGATAAAGTACGAGGGGAATCAAAATTTTCTTTTGTCGGTAGTGCCAGCTACCACAATACTTACATCACTTCTCATTTTTACTGTAAAAATTTTTCTTAAACATAATATTATTTTATATGATGGATGTTTTGCCATATTTTGCCTTTAGAAGACATAAAGCAACTCTCTGTTTTGAAGTCTAAGTGAGAGAAAAGTTGACAAAAACATAATTTGATAAGGAAATTGTTTAAATCTATGATATTACACATGAAAAATTTAGAAACCTCCATCACTAGGTCAGTAGTGCTTGCTATTCACAGGTATAGAAAGTCCTACTGTTATTTGGTATTGTAGGACTATGCTCTGCATTGTCAAAATTTGCATTTGAGTCAGATGTAGGTGAAGGTTGAGTACTTTCCATCCTGTAATGAGTATATACTTTGTGTTGTAGGACTACGCCCTTTTGTGTCAGGATGGTAGTCGTCGGAGCCTTGATCAGTATGATCAGTGTAACTTTGGTAAGATCATATCAAACATGGTGATGACATCCAGTCTCAAACAAGACTCCGAAGTGAATGCCTACAAAACCTTCTTACTACAGGCATCCAATTGGTTTGGACCTAACGGCCAATACAAAAACCGCTTCACCTTGTTCAGTTCCCTTGAATGGGATTATTTTGGTCGGAGGAATCTCATGTTTTCTGATGTGACAGAGGGGTTGGTTGATGTTGGTGAAAACAACACTTACTACAAATGGGTTGGTAAGTATGTTAGTTGTGTAATATATAGTTCGTACATATATGTATAGACTGTTTGTGTTAATTACAGATCTTGTTATTTTTGTAACAGGACATTTGGAATGAGGTAAATTATGAATACAGGTTTCTGGATTTCTTGGTAAAATTTTCAAAGGACTACTTTTCTTTATATTGGCAGCAATACAATTCAGAGAGTGAATTCTTTCCTTAAAATTAAAATAAAATAATTGGGTTATTGAGATACATTTATAATTTGGTTTCTGTGGTTACAGATCCTGAGTTTTACAATAAAGTAAGCAGTCTTAACTACTGTCCACTGAGCTCAGCCCGATGGTGTGTCATCTCAAAGGATGAAAAATCAAAGTGCCAGACTATGTTGATGGCATTTGAAGCAAAAGACCTTCGACCCCGGCTTGATTGTATTCTTGGCTCTGACACTGATAACTGCATGTCTATGATTGCTAATGGTGATGCTGATCTAATGAACCTAGATCCTGGTGATGTGTATGTGGCTGGCAGGTGAGGATGTATACCACTTCTTGATTCATTATGTCTTTCAGTAACATTGCATAGACTTCATTTAAACCCTAGATCTCGGATAAAGGGAATGTTTATAATTGAGTCAGTCTTTTATTAGGTCACCTGACCCAGATGGTGAGGGTGACCTATAGTTATGGTGTTTGTCTGTGCACTATCCACCCTGGGTATGATTTTTCATATCTTGAACTTCTCAATTTAAACCAGTTGGATTCAGCTCAGACTTTCATGAAATGATCCCAAGATGGTCCTAACCAAGTGATCTTATTTTCCTACTCAGCGTCTATTTTAAACTTCTGAAGTTCCACCAGTGGCATTCCGCTGAAACCTGCCTGAAGTAATACTAAGATGATCCTGAACAAATGTTGCTATTTTTTGGGTTAATTCAAATTGAAATATGGTCACCATCTTGAAAAACACATTTGGTTTTCCACTGGTGCCTTCAAACTGAAATAAGATGGGAATATTGAGAAGCTGAAATTGAGAAAATGTTGTTTACTTTACTGCTGAATACAAAAATGTTTGAAGCACTTAATAATTTATCCCACTACCACTAACTGTTATATTGTCAATAGTCAGATGACCTTTAAGGCCATTTGGCTTCTGGTACCAAAGCAAAACATCTGGGTATTTCTAAAATCTTCAAATTTAGGCTAATGAAAAACCAAAGTAGTGAAATGCAACAATATTAACTTTTTTAAAGCATGAATGATTTGTTTGTAGAAAATATGGTTTGAAGCCCATAGCATCAGAAGATTATGGCAACATGAACTCATCATTTTATGTGGTAGCAGTAGCAAGGAAGAGAGATCACTACATGACACTCTTTAACCTGAAAAGTAAGTTTTCCTTTTCAAATAACCCTACTTCCATGGTTTGTTGGTCTATCTGTAAACAATTCTTGTTATTGTTGTTTTTTGAGGAATACTAGATGAATCTTTCATATAGTTCATATGTAGGTTCCATTTGTTCCTAGAGTACCGGTTTGATTTCTGGACAGATATGAGAAATAAATGGGGACTGATTAAAAAAAGCAAACTTTGACATTGAAAGTTTTGCTATCGCTATTTCTTGATAAGTACTGGATGAATCTTTCTCAAATTTCATATGAAGATTCCTCTTTGTCCTCATTTGTGCTCATTTGATTTTAAGACTAATGACCAAAAAATGGCTGAGAAGCAGCCACCTTGGATTTAGGTAATGAAAGTTTGTTATTGCTATTTTGTGAGAAGAAATGAATGAATCTGTCTCAAGTTCCATCTGTATGTATGTAGGATAAATTTCACTGTGTTCATCTTCACTTGGAGTATAAACTTTCACTGTGTTAATCTTAACTTGGAGTTTAAACTCTCTCTGGGTGAATCTTAACTTGGAGTATGAACTCTCACTGGGTGAATCTTAACTTGGAGTATAAATGCTTACCGGGTGAATCTTAACTTGGAGTATAAACTCTCACTGGGTTAATCTTAACTTGGAGTATAAACTCCCACTGGGTTAATCTTAACTTGGAGTATAAATGCTTACTGGGTTAATCTTAACTTGGAGTATAAACTCTCACTAGGTTAATCTTAACTTGGAGTATAAACTCTCACTGGGTTAATCTTAACTTGGAGTATAGATGCTTACTGAGTTAATCTTAACTTGGAGTATAAACTCTTAACTTGGAGTATAAACTCTCCCTGGGTTAATCTTAACTTGGAGTATTAACTCTTACTGGGTTAATCTTAAATTGGAGTATAAACTCTCACTTGGTTAATCTTAACTTGGAGTATAAATGCTTACCGGGTGAATCTTAACTTGGAGTATAAACTCTCACTGGGTTAATCTTAACTTGGAGTATAAACTCTCACTAGGTTAATCTTAACTTGGAGTATAAACTCTCACTAGGTTAATCTTAACTTGGAGTATAAACTCTCACTGGGTTAATCTTAACTTGGAGTATAAACATTAATGTGGTTGATCTTAGCTCACAGTGTGAGGTTGATTTAACTCAGTATAAACTTTGACTTCGGTGATCAGCAAGTGTTATTTAACTTTTTTTGAACATATGTATTATGATCTGCCATCAAATATTGGTTTTGGATCAATCCTCATTGAATTGACACTGACTTTATAATATGTTATACTTGTTACAGAGAAGCGAGCCTGCTTGCCTGGGATAGGGCGAGGAGATGGGTGGATTGTACCGGTCAACATCTTCATTGAGACAGAACAGTTCCTACCACAACATTGTACAATATTTGAAAATCTAGGTAGGTCATGATTATTTGAGCTTTATCCTGTGAGAGAGGGTGTTTTACCCACGTCTGTCACATCTTGATGCTTCGTGTTTCATACCAGATCTTTATGTTGATCTTCACCCTAGCTCCTTTGTTTCTCAAGGGTTTTTATCAATCTTTATACCAGGGTCAACAATGACAATGCTTTGGGTGAAAACATGTTTCAGTAAAGGTCACTGTTACTACTTATCTTTTTAACCAATTCATTGACTTCATTTTATTGAAGGGATTTCAATCAAACTTTGACAGTTCAGACAAAATGGTGATAATACTTCAAATAAGTTTAAGATTGCTGTCACCTTTAGCATTCCAGAAACTTGTCAAACAAGTGATGTTTTTTTTTTACTTTGGAATGAGGGAGTTCTTTTCTTACAGACATAATCTAGTTTAAGTGATTATACATCTTTCTTGGAGCTGAAACCACATGCTTGGAAGTGATGATAAGGAGTTTTTGTTTGTAATGGAAGATGATAATATATAATGACTTATTTTGTGTTGTAAAATTAGTTTTACTTCTTCCAATTCAGGTCAGCTGTTTGTTCGGAGTTGTATTCCTGGGGCAGTAGATAAGTTATACAATCCTACACAGACCCCTGTCAGTCTGGTGGAGGCCTGCGCCTCGGGAGGTGCAAAGAAGGGACGGCGTAATAGTGACGACTATTACTATGGGGCTACAGGAGCATTTAGGTGTCTTGTAGAAAGTAAGTATTTTGGTACTGTTATTTCTCAGCTGTTAGTGAGTAGATATTTCTGGCTTAAATCTTATTAGTTTCAAATGAAATTAAGTCATTTGAAATGAAGAACAACGTTATTATAAGTAATATTTTACCTGGAATAGAAGAGACCAAACAAATCGTATTTACCCTAATGATTTATAATTTGTCCATGTATATTTAATCATGTTTTTCTTAAATCTGAAAATTGGAGTTATTATGTACAAGAGGAAGACTACAATAAAGCCTCGCTTTTAAGACCGCTTCATTTTAATCCTGGAAAGTTCCTGCGTTGTATTTGTGATGTACGCTTCACTATTAAGAATAACTCGGAACTAAAACCAGTCTGAAGCTCACCTGCCTGAAGGGCAATTGAGCTTATACCATGGTGCAGATTCTGTTGTCCATCCAGCCTTAGCATTTAGTTTACACAACTATATATATTGCATTTCAGAGGGGGGAGATATTGCGTTTGTTCGACACTTGACAGTACGAGACAATACTGACAGCAGAAACCGAGCCATCTGGGCGAGAAATCGTCGTGCTGATGACTATGAGCTAATGTGTAAGGATGGAAGCCGTACACAGATTGACAACTGGAGAAACTGTCATCTGGGAAAAGTACCGGCCAATGCTGTGGTAACAGCTCGTAAGTGTCACTGACTAAATGGGAGATACTTCAATACTTTGTGTCTAGGATTGGATATATGATAACCCCAATAGTTTATTGACAGTATTTCATAATTTTCACTTCAGACACAAAGAAACATGTCATAGATTTGACATTATTACTGCTTGTATTTTGTTTGGAAAAAGATACACATTGTCGTCTTATTAAAAGAAAATAATGATTAAAAAAATTGTCTCAATAAAAAGTTTGATGGAAGCAATATTCAAATGACATCATTATTAAAATTACTGTAATATGCATTATATTAGTTGCTGACACAACTGAGAAATTTTCCCTGAATTGAGAGGTTTTTTTATCATGTATTACACTGTTGTATAATACCCCTTCATCATGATTTGGTTGTTCTGAGAAATTTTTAGAGAAACAGAAAGAATGAAGGGAATGCATGGGAATACTACTTATAGGTAATAAAATAAAGAGAAAAATATTCAAGTTATCTTGGTGAAAGTGTCTTAATGCAAGACTCCATGTAAGCAGGATCCTGATTGATACCTCTCTATGTGATATTTGATTTATCTTCAGAATACAAATCAGAAGAAGAGAAGCATATATACTGGCAGCTAATGAATTATGGACAACAGTTTTTCTCATCTGACATGTAAGTTACAGTCTTACTTACATAATCGCATCATACAAATTTAAACAAGACAATAATCCAGAGATAGTTGTACGTTCAGTCGTATCATGTTGCCCCATGAACAGTCAGTGTCATTTTGAGGCCGGGCTTCTTTTTGGTAACTGCTGTCTACCTCACTGAACATCATATGGGAGGACTGCCACATGACATCCCATCCAAAGCAATTATGGTAAAGTGTCTTGTCCTAGAACACAGCCATGTCAGTACAGACATGTATGTTTCTCGGCTTTCTGAGTACAAAAACCCAATGGGTAGGAGCAAACCAGTAAGGAATGAGACATTGGAACAAAATACTATATTGATCTTAGAAAACTTGTTTCTCTTACTTTTGATAAGATATAGGATCTGAACGAGACAGTATTTCCTGTTATCATTCCATAGAACCTGGTGAGATGATGTAACTGCTTTGTTAAAGTCACCACAGGTTTATATTGTAATGTGGTTGTCAGGCTGTGTGTATCGCTCATAAAGTGACCTAAGTTTGCTTAAGAATTTTTTGTGGCATTTTCTTAGTAATACAAGACAAAATATGATTGAGTTAAAAAAGTAAATAAGCATGTTTGTATTCTCACAAAGTCATCTTATAACCTCTTTATCTTTCAGTCTTGGTGACTTCAATATGTTTGATTCGGGCAAATGGTCTTCAAAGTCATGGTCGAGTGATCTTATCTTCACTGACGATGCTGTGCGACTGATGAAGGTGGAGCCAGCTCAACAAAATTACAAGGCATATCTTGGTCGGTCCTTCATCAACCAAATAGAAAACTTACACAAATATACCTGTGTTCCAATCAAAGAGGTCAGCTCAGCCACGACATGGTCTGCCTCAACAGTCATAATTACTCTTACTGTCATACTCCAACTTTTTATCTGAAATTAGGTGTGTAGATGAACAAAATTCGGATATCAAAGAAAGAACTTTTTTTATTTATGTTACAATCAGATGTATCTAATTTATAAAACACTGGGATATAGTTTTGTGTATATCTTGTTTGAAGTTCTCAATACAAAGAATTGCTCAGTCATAAATACAGTCTTTCTTTAAAAAATTCTAAAAGTTAGATTTTCTTTAAACCTAGAAGTTTCAAATTGATCAGAGTCTTGCATATGTTCACTGAAAGTCAGCAGTAACAGTTGATTATACATTTGAAGAAATATAAAGTATATCTTTTTTCTCTTAGCTTTGTCTTCCAATTTTTTATGCATATTTTAAATCTGTAATTTGATTTTTATGCATGAGAATTTCAATGATAAGATCAAAACTAATTTAAAGATGCTGTACTTTCTTTGTTAATTTTAGAACGGTTTGATTAAAGTGGGTGAGAAAACAATGTCTTTATTGTGTGACAACATTTAACATGCCAGACATGTAAATATCACATCAATCTCCTATGTATAAGTGTCGTATATATAAAATCAGCAGTGAACAGGTCAACCCATCAACTATTTTTGTAAACATATGTCTGTATATTTTGCAGTGTAAATAGTTTTATACTTGTAAATATGTACATTTTTACACAGTTTATGCAATATTTTAAACATATATTTTGCTTGATCATGTGCCATTACAATACAAGTGGTTCTGTTGTGAACGTTGGCTCTCATTTGATTGCCTCCCCTTATTAGTACATTCCTCTCTACAGCAAGTGACAAACACCAAGTTCTAGTTTTAATTTGTGATTTATTAAGTATCAACCAAAGTTTAAATACAAAGGCACTACAAATTATCTTAACTTTTATGCAAAGCATTTTGCCATTTTGTACTAATATTTTTTCCATCATATTTTGTATTCTACACAAATTGTTTAAGCCCTCTTCATTTGGATATCAGATGTAGCATATCTCTATATATATCACTTGCAATTAATTAACAGGATATATTGGATAATTTCCTGCTGAAAGTTAAATGAGGGAAAATGTTGATTTTCTTAACATTAGTTTACAATTATCAATTAAGGCCTATATTATTCTCTACACTTGGGCCTCTTTGATAAGTATAGTCCCTTGATTCTGTACAACTGTCTAATTATGTTATAAACACAATGTTCATCTCTGCACATTATCACAAAATCATTTTAGGCTTAAATTTTAATGTCATTTGTATATAATCATCCCAAATCTTTTAAGAGTTGTATGCAATAGATGTTCATCATATTTCAAATTACTATCATGGGAGAAAGAAATCATTTACTCATTGTATAATTAAGGATGGCACTTACACAGATCAAAGAACAAAATATATGTTGTTGTCAAAGGTTATATAACACTTATGCTTAAATTACGGAACTGATAGATACAAGAGTAATTATACTTGGAAAAATTTACCAATCAGAGTTACTTCCCTTCCGTTAGTGAATCCCGTGTGTCTCTGTTATTGTACACACAAAGATAAGGTACATAAGTGTTGGTTGCTAGTTTGACAGACAAGCTGACTAGCATGCTACAGTACTGCAGATGAAGTGGAATATGAAGAGTAATACATTTTAATACTGATTGATAGCTTTATGATAAGGATGTGTTAGATATTGAAAAAAATATACATTAATGAAATAGTCGATTGCCATGCATATTATGAACCATGAAACGTGTTCAGTTAAAAAAAAAAGTTTTAAAAAAATTTAAACACAGATGCAAAGCTATCTTGTGAGCAGTTTTGTTATTGTCATTAATGCGATGTGACCTGCCAATATCAATCTTATACCATACCCATTGTTATTAAGCTTCAGGGATTTAAACACATACATGGCATATTTTGAATATTTCAAAACAACGTTTAAAGTTAAAAGTTTGACATATTACAAGGAAAACTATGAAGTAAGTGCTCTTGTACATATAGATGTATGTGATTGTGAAAAGTGGAAATCATCAAATTATTGGTTTAATAAACTGTATATAATCGTTATAACTAATTCATACCATAAAGAATTTTTAATAAAATATTTTGATACATAATAACTTGTTTTAAATTTCTTTTGATTGACAGTGGGGATAGAGTAAAAGTTTTTTGTCACCACAAATTTACTTTGGAACTCTATTTCCAAACAGAGATTGTTCTGAATGTACACCTCATTACATTACTCTTTTGTACACACTTTTCTGCCAGACTATTTCCTACAAGCTACAAATAACCTGAGAAATAATGAAAAAGGACAAAGTAACAAATAAGGTTACCGAGGAGAAAACAATATCAGTATTATAGATATATATGATTGGAGGATTTGCTTATTGTGATGTTATGCTCCACCATCAAACTATTGGGGAATGTATAAAATTTAACCCATGTCAATCTGTCGTATCTCTTAGTTGGCCTTCCATTCCATTGTCTCTGTTACACTTCTGTCAGGGAAGATCTCTTAGAATCTATGATCAATGTGATGAGATTAAATTGGGAATTTACTGACATGAAATTAACTTCACATACTAGTTACAAATTTAAAGTAATTTCTAAATCAGTGCTCACAAAATCATACATTTGAGAATATGTTTAAAGAGGTAAGTTTGTGAAGTAAAGTCTTCACTAAATCCCAAGTAATTAACAGTGCTAATATCTTTACTTAAGTATGAAAAGGAGAATGCTTGTTATACAAATATTTTCTTAGCCTACCATCTAGATGTACAATATTACAGAAAACAAGAGTAGAACTCTGTATTCCTGAAATACACTTGGGAGCACATCTATAAAGCAGGTCTAGATGTATATAATAAAGTCTTTATGGTGATGGGTAATCTGTGTAAAGATTTAGTGTTAACCCTGTAAATCTAGATAAAATGTCTGCTAACAGAAGATACACAGTGATGATCGTAGGGGATTTGGCAGAGCCAGGAATACCTGTATAATTCAGTTGGATGTGATGACGCAGGATTCCACACAAGAATTCGGTCCATCAGGAATGGAGAGGACTGTGATTGATGAAGTTGCTCTCATTTTGATGGATTTTTCAACATTCTATTAAGGTAAATGGATAATAATAGACACCCATACTCTGTGAACACAATGAAAGGATACACATTCATTCTACACAAATGTTAGCAGGAGAAAGATGAATTCTATTAATAGTTTTCAAGGTTAGATAAATCTAGGAGATAAAAGAGAGGGTATTAGAGTGGTGTTTTATTGTTATGGAGGAGCAACAACATCAGTGTATTAGGTCAGTGTTTATAATCTCATGTAAGAACATCTGTACCAGATAGATCCATTACGTTTATATTGTAGTCTGTAATATATTTTGTCTGTTGACATGGGTTTTTGATAAAATATTACTACTGTGACTTTAATGTCTAAGGTCAAACATGTCGATCTCATTCACTGTGATAACAGAATCATATTGTTGTGGTTTCATTTACTGACCATTACTGTGGGTAACAAGGGTCAAGGTCATCAGGTCAAAGGTCATTATTAATGTTGTGTTTGTAAACTGATCACCATTTCCATATGAACAAATGAAGGAAGATTTGTTAAAGATGAAACAAAGAGTTGGTTAATAAAAGATAAACAGTTAAGATAAAAAGGATAAAGACAGTGAGTCAGAGGCCAAGTTTAAATTATATCCATTTTTATTTTTTGAATATTTTGTTGTGGTGATTCGCAATTTTGTATTGACAGTTGTTTTGTAGAACGCTTAGATACCCACACTTGCAAACAGAAAACCATCGAAAGTCAATTGACTCAAGGAAAATCATCGAAAGTCAATTGACTCAAAGAAAACCATCGAAAGTCAATTGACTCAAAGAAAACCATTGAAAGTCAATTGACTCAAGGTCATCAGGTCAAATGTAGGTGGTAAATAAATTGGATTGGGGTTATGAAATAAGAATTGGTCACATTAGATGTACTTAGCCATTCTTTGCTGGTTAGTATGTTTAGTGTACTGTTTCTGATATACCATGCTGTATTCTAGGCTTAACTACAGTCTTACTGTGATTCTGTACTGTGATTATGACTTCTTTGTTGGGTATTTCTCAAATATTGATAAAGCATTAAAATATTTATAACATTTCAAAGGTTTGAATCTACTTTTCATAGTCTTCTTGATCAACATAGGTTCACACTTTTGAAAAATGATAAGGACCTAAATAACTAAACCACAGGTATGTAAATTTTTTTATCATTGCAACATATTAAGCAGTGCTGTTAATGTTACAACTTTGATCACTAATTTGTGTATATGATTTATAATACATTGTCCAGAACCCAAGGAATTCTAGTAATTCAATTATCCTGGTCATAAACAACATTTGATCATCAAATCTGCCATCATCATTAGATCATTGTGTAGTTGAGGCAGGTGTTTTTCAAAGGCTACCTGATGGAACTACAGATATATATCAAAGTTCATTCTGAATGATCAGGATAACGTTTACAAGATAAATACTTACAGGATACCTTAAACATATCTAGTCACTATTTTCATTAAATCTGAAATAGATCTAGCTTGTAATGTGCAGCAGGTGTTAGACTGATGTTAATTGGAGCTGACAAATTTAAAAAAAAAAACAATATTGAAGCAAATAACTTCATATCATAGCAAAAATCTAAACCAAAGCTATCAGTAAAAAAAGTGACCTCTTGGTTAAATAAAAATCTCTCAGATATCTTAGAATCTTTCTTTATACATGTTTTTGATAAAGTTGAACTGTTTGAAAAAATAGGATATTATTTGGGCTTACCAATTATAAAGGTGCTGTATAGTTCATTGTCTTAATATGACAGTGTCATTGTATAAAATTCATGATTAATCGAGAATATTATGTAACACAAACAAGTAACCTAGTCTTCTCAATTAAATAGTCCTATCATGCTTAACGTCTAGATTTAATTTGATATGATGGTGCATGTGAATAGTTCCAATATACCTGATATTGTCTTATTAAATGCACCAGTTTGTAACAGCTGAAATCTGGAAGTGTGCCTACATTCCGTCAAAAGGGTGAGAAAAAATGTATCCCGATCAATTAGTGACTGTGATCAACTAATATCGTAAAGACAAAAGCCTTAGATAGAGAAAAAGCAATCAATATCAATTTTGTGTAATTCTGTTGGTTAAGAAGCTACGCTGTGAATAATGTGAAAGATTTTACAACATACCCAATTCATTCACTTATAAAAGTATAAAAGTATTAATTTGTAAAAGGATACAGTAATATATTGTTTTTCACTGTAAGTTTGAAAAGTTGAAAGAAAATTAATTGATAGTGATTTCTATTCTTTGTATCTTCATGCTAACTAGTCTTTTAAAAGTACTCGATAAAACAAGGGAATCAGGTAAGCAGATAATTTACACAGGTACAAACAGATTAATTGCTCGTTAAGACACATCTGAACCATACTAATTAGGTGTCAGGTAAGACAATAAATAGGTAGTAATGAGATAGATTTAAAGAATGCAGATGGATAGTTGCCAACTTTGGGTCAAAGTTCAAACAATGTACTCAACAAAATTGCAAAATCATTATTTAAAATTGCTGACCAAATTTTTAAAAAAAGTAATTAAGTTTGAATTATTGGTCAAGTAATGAGCCTGCTTATAATTGTACTGTTTGAGGTGACATATATTGACTGGATATAAAGAAATTAATTTTTTGGTTAAGTCATCTTTTCTTTACCATATTCATTTTCAGAATACTCATTCCACATCCTTAATAAATCTTTCTACCACTATCAATATTGACATCTACCCAGGAAACAAGAATCGTTAAATATTTGTAATTGTAATGTGACATATCAGCACTGTAGTGTTAGTAAACGCAGGCATATTCTACCAAACAAACAATATATTGTTTGTAGTGAGATAAAGATGTATTTGATAACATTTGAAAACATTCACAGTTAAAATGCAATAATTAGAAGAATGCAGTAATGATTCCACACAAGTCATTCAGACACCAGAAAATAACTGTTATATGACATCTGCTTAAAGTGGTCATGTTTTAGTGCATCAATACAATGTATATACAAACCTTGTTGCAAAGCATTATTATACCTGGTACATAAATTGTTACTATTTTTTAATACAGGTACATTTCTGCCACCTTTTTGGCATTGAAAGTGGGTCAAGGCCATGCATTGGATCAAGTTTGGAAATTCTTCATCTCCACTGTCAATATTCTGATATGTATCATGACCTAGGGCCTCCTATTATCCCCTTGCAATGAATGTCGTCAGAGGGTGTATAAAGATATTCTCTTATGTACTTATATGTATAACACTAAAACCTCCTTGTCAGCACTCATTCCATCAAGGAATTTTTAAAAATCAAACTTCACAATCTTAAAAACAAACAATTTATTTCAGAGAAATTTGAATTTGGGGGTTATTGGGTCAAACTAAATTCACTTTTAGAAAATCTTGACAACAGCGTACCGGCTTCATTTTTTTTATGAACTTTTCATCAAACGTACACTTATATAAGATCATAATATATCACACAAGCTGGTGTTTTAGAACAGTTAAGTCAAAATCAAGATCATTGTAACTAGATATGGAAAATTCTTATCAGCTTCATTCCTTGAAAGATTTTTCTCAAAATTCACATTCACATAAAGGAACATAATATCACAGACAATTTTGAGTTTCATTGTTGTAGGTCAAGGCCACCATAACTATATTTAGAAAATCTGTCAGCACTTTGACAACTTCAGTCGTTGAGGAATTTCAATCAAACTTTCCATTCATATAAAGTACCATGATATTATCGTTGGAGGTCATCATTACTTCTTTAAGAAAATCCGTCAGACTCATGTGGTTTCATTCTTTAAGGAATTTTTATCAAACCTCACACAATTTATCATCTTTACTGCATTTAATTCAAGGGGTGGAACTGTGAGGGGATTTGTATATCATTACAATTATTGTGATAACATTTCAAAAGCAGATTCACAACTTTTTTTTACCTGACTCCTGTGATCTTACATTTATTTAACATCCTTCATCCATGTGTGTTTGTGGTAAAATATGACCCTGTCCTGTTGGATGTGCTGTAGATGTTGAAATGATTTCATCAAATTTGACTCTTTGTAACCATAAAAGTGTGTCAATATTATTTTTTTAGAAAGTTCTTTAGCACAATGTCTGCTACTGGCTGAATATCATGACCCTGGGTCTCAATCCTTCATGGTTAATCAAAATACTTTGTATTGAGATATTACATTTGAATCTGTGATCTTGAAAACAGATCTCTGTAATTTATTTCTGTTTGAAATTTGCTTTGACTATAGCATTCCACTGTCAGAATGTCATGACCCTTGACCTTACCCTTGATACACTTGAAAAAATGTGACCAATTCTTCATTTCAAGAAACATGAAACCCTTTAATCCCATTACTACCGACTACTTCTTTATCTACATATCAAGATTTTTGTGCTTCAATACAGAAATGCTACCATACCCATTGTTCTATGTGCAGGCAGATACTCAAAGAATCATCAGTAATAAAAGTTGGATGATGGTGGATTTTCAATTTTTCATGTTTGTCACTTCTGTCTATAAGTTGATGATTTCAGGTCATTAAAATGTCATGTCTTCACACCACCAGAGCACTAATGTTTGTCTTTGAGACAATGCCTAGTGACAGAAATAGTTGACACCTAATGATATCAAGAATCTTGGAGTCAGACCACAACCATTCCGCTTTTAGGTAACGTCTGGTGACAGTAAAAGTTATATCACTAGAACACTGACATTTTGTAACTGAGACAATGCCTATATATAATGTTAGGAAAAGTCACGACAGCGAAACATTAAGATTCCTTGCAGACAACGCCTAGTGACAGAAAGAGTGACATCTTCAGAACACTAACATCATCACTGAGACAACGCCTAGTGACAGGAAGAGTCACATCACTAGAACACTAACGTCATCATTGAGACAACACCTAGTGACAGAAAGAGTCACGTCACCAGAACACTAACGTCATCATTGAGACAACGCCTAGTGACAGGAAGAGTCACATCACTAGAACACTAACGTCATCATTGTGACAATGCCTAGTGACAGAAAGAGTCACGTCACAAGAACACTAACGTCATCATTATGACAATGCCTAGTGACAGGCAGAGTAACGTCGTCAGAACACTGAAGTTCATCCTAGTGACAGGATAAGTTATGTCACTTGAACACTAACATTTTGTCATTGTGACAATGCTCAGTGACAGAAAGAGTCACGTCACCAGAACACTAACGTCATCACTGTGACAATGCCTAGTGACAGAAAGAGTCACATCACCAGAACACTAATGTCATCATTATGACAATGCCTAGTGACAGGCAGAGTAACGTCGTCAGAACACTGAAGTTCATCCTAGTGACAGGATAAGTTATGTCACTTGAACACTAACATTTTGTCAACACTCAGTGACAGAAAGAGTCATCAACACTAACGTCATCATTGTGACAATGCCTAGTGACAGGCAGAGTAACATCATCAGAACACTGAAGTTCGTCCTAGTGACAGGATAAGTTATGTCACTTGAACACTAACATTTTGTCATTGTGACAATGCTCAGTGACAGGAAGAGTCACGTCATCAGAACACTAACGTCATCATTGTGACAATGCCTAGTGACAGAAAGAGTGACGTCACCAGAACACTAACGTCATCATTGTGACAATGCCTAGTGACAGGCAGAGTAACATCGTCAGAACACTGAAGTTCATCCTAGTGACAGGATAAGTTATGTCACTTGAACACTAACATTTTGTCATTGTGACAATGCTCAGTGACAGGAAGAGTCACTTCACCAAAACACTAATGTCATCATTGTGACAATGCCTAGTGACAGAAAGAGTCACATCACCAGAACACTAATGTCATCATTGTGACAATCCCTAGTGACAGAAAGAGTCACGTCACCAGAACACTAACGTCATCATTGTGACAATGCCTAGTGACAGGAAGAGTCACGTCACCAGAACACTAACGTCATCATTGTGACAATGCCTAGTGACAGGCAGAGTAATGTTGTCAGAGCACTGAAGTTCGTCCTAGTGACAGGATAAGTTATGTCACTTGAACACTAACATTTTGTCATTGTGACAATGCTCAGTGACAGGAAGAGTCACGTCACCAGAACACTAACGTCATCATTGTGACAATGCCTAGTGACAGGCAGAGTAACGTCGTCAGAGCACTGAAGTTCGTCCTAGTGACAGGATAAGTTATGTCACTTGAACACTAACATTTTGTCATTGTGACAATGCTCAGTGACAGGAAGAGTCACGTCACCAGAACACTAACGTCATCATTGTGACAATGCCTAGTGACAGGCAGAGTAACGTCGTCGGAGCACTGAAGTTCGTCCTAGTGACAGGATAAGTTATGTCACTTGAACACTAACATTTTGTCATTGTGACAATGCTCAGTGACAGGAAAAGTAACGTCACCAGTACACTAACATTTTGTCATTGTGACAATGCTCAGTGACAGGAAGAGTAACGTCGTCAGAGCACTGAAGTTCGTCCTAGTGACAGGATAAGTTATGTCACTTGAACACTAACATTTTGTCATTGTGACAATGCTCAGTGATAGGAAGAGTCATAAAGGTAAGTTATGTTGTCATAATTTTTGCACCTTTTCCAACAATACATATAAAACAAATAGGGATTAATTTCCTATATAAACATGTAAAAAACAATCCTTGGCATGCTCTTTTAAGTCTTAAAATGTACTGTTAAAGACAATATACTAAAACAATTAATTTCAAAAACAAAGCTATCAAATTTTATTTAATATATCAATTTTCATTCACAATATCTAAATCATATACCTGTTGATGTTGCAGGTCTTATCTCTGAAACTTGACACTGAAAGCTTCTCAACTTTGTAATTTAACAAGTTATTCAAATTAGGAATCATTTGGCATAATGGTCAGTGGTAATGATGACAACTAAGTTTTGCTGTCAATGAGAACAAAATGTATGACTGAATTCTCTGACACGATTCGTGATGTGATACATTGATAGGATCAGCTGAAGGCATCAGACTGAGCAATTCCTCTTTCATATACTCAATACTGTTTGGATAGAATCTATGGTGATGTAACAATGCATTCTATTGGTGGGATTGACAGGTCAACTAACAGGGATAGACGTTTTAACTCGATAAATAATTCATAAGTTTTGGCTGTAGATCGTAATTAAACTGGTCTTGTCGGATTAAGGTATGATTAATATAATAAATCAATAAAAATTATCAAATCTTTATTATTTTCTTATCTTATCGCTGAGCTGATCTGGTCTGTCTGCTCAACATATCATGATCGCAAAGATAACTTGTAGCAAAAGGTAACGACTCCATTTTAACCGAGATCACTGTTTTGTGTAGTTGACTGTCTGCTAGAAACGTGACATCAAAAGACAGACAATGTGCTATCAGAATAGTTCATGCCACTTTAAGTAATCCATGTCACACTAAATACCCAACTACAATATCAGCTCTGGTCAGAGTCCAACATTTTGTATAAAACATACCACAATTGTATTGTAAACGACATGGGAAAAACTTTGTTTAATGTTAGCTTACAAAACCCACAAAAAACTTCAAAAAGCTTTTTTGAATTCATTTTTTTGGGGATAAAATTTTAGTTTTGTCAATCAAATGGTTCCAATATGTCTGCAAGATTTATTTTGAAGCTAAAGATGATCATATCATACTTACCTGTTCACCTGTATTGTTAGTAAGAAAGTTCATTAAGGACATTAACCTGAAGGAAGTGTACCAAGTACAGTCATTTCAATCAAATATCTATAGATAGTTTCAGTTAACGGTCAACCGCAACTCTGTTACCAAAGTTGGAAAACTTTTCATATCAATCCAGCAATGATACGATCATGTGTAGGAGACAGTACAGGTCACTTTACCAGTCACAGCTTGTGGGAATTTCCACTTAGTTGAGTAGCAGAGCGTCCAGATCGAAGCTGAAGGGGCAAAAGACTTACCTATTGAAAGAGGGAATGATGTAAAAACTAAAAGTCACCTCACTAGTCTCGGCTAGTAGAAATTTCCCTTGAGTCAAGCATTGGAATATCAGACTAGAGACCGATGAGTTGCTTGTTTGAACCCTTGCAGTGAAAGAATATTTTTTTATTACTCCTATGACAAATGTAAAAGGCATAACAAAAAAAGACAAAATTTCTCTGTACTTTATGTGGCTCCATTCTCCTCTTCCCTGGACTGTTAAGATGAGATAAGAAAATATTTTGGACACTTCTCTCTGACCACACAGGCTACTCCATTGCCCTTGTCTGTGGACACTCTCATTGTCACACTCTGATCCTACTGTAGGATAGTTGGTGTTACTTTTACACTGTAAATGTTTTAGTTTGTTGTTGCTTTACGTCCTGTTAACAGCTAGGGTCATTTAAGGACATGTCAGGGTTTGGGTAGTAGAGGAAAGCTGGAGTTCCTGGTCACTGCCCCACATAGGCCTTTAACCTTGACCAAGAGGTGGAGGGCTAGTGATAAAGACGGTTAGACGTCTTAACACTCCACTACCGCAAACCCTTACACACAGTTGTACAGTAACTGATTGAGAAACCCAAGTGTCACTTTAAAACAGTAACATATTCAGGTCACATAAGAAATTAATTTGGAAAATTTGAAGCTTTAGGTTAAGTTTCAAGAAGTGTGGATATGCACATAAAAGTTTTTCGTATCACCACTAAGTGACACGTTTTCCAAGTGGTAACATGACATCAACTAACTAGGGTACAATTTGGTACTAAAAAGTTTTGTTTTTCCATCTTTTTGTTCATTCCATCTATTTTCTCTCCATTATTTGTTATATTGACAGGTTAAATGATGGAAATGGAAATAGTGTTAAACAAAAGAAACCAATAACCTATATTGGAATAGAACATCCTTTCTGCACACACAACAAGAAAACGGATGTATGATTTTTATACATTTTCTTTATTATTTGATATCACTGGCATTTGTTTGCATTTGCACTTTTAACATGTTATCATTCATAACAGAAGATATTAAATATGATATCACTGATAACAGAAATGATTTGATATTGTTCTAATGATAACAGATACCATTCAATATTAAATGATATTCAATGTTGTGTCGATGATAACAGACGATTATCTAATTATAGTTAAAAACTGATGAGATTTACAAATATAACAATAAGGAAAGGAAACTTAACACATGTAGCATTAATCAACAAAGTGGTGCTCAATCAAATTCAACTTAAACAAAAACAATATCTACCCATCCCTAGATTGTGACAATATCCCTGACACCGAGTCAAACAATATCTACCCTTCCCTAGATTGTGACAATATCCCTGACCCCGAGTCAAACAATATCTACCCTTCCCTAGATTGTGACAATATCCCTGACCCCGAGTCAAACAATATCTACCCTCCCCTTGAATGTGACTATATCCCTGACCCGGAGTCAAACAATATCTACCCTCCCTAGATTGTGACAATATCCCTGACACCGAGTCAAACAATATCTACCCTTCCCTAGATTGTGACTATATCCCTGACCCGGAGTCAAACAATATCTACCCTTCCCTAGATTGTGACTATATCCCTGACCCGGAGTCAAACAATATCTACCCATCCCTAGATTGTGACAATATCCCTGACACCGAGTCAAACAATATCTACCCATCCCTAGATTGTGACAATATCCCTGACACCGAGTCAAACAATATCTACCCTTCCCTAGATTGTGACAATATCCCTGACCCCGAGTCAAACAATATCTACCCTTCCCTAGATTGTGACAATATCCCTGACCCGGATCAAACAATATCTACCCTTTCCTAGATTGTGACTATATCCCTGACCCGGAGTCAAACAATATCTACCCTCCCCTTGAATGTGACAATATCACTGACCCAGAGTCAGACAATAACTACCCTCCCCTTGAATGTGACTATACCCCTGACCTGGAGTTAAACAATATCTACCCTGCACTAGAATGTGACAATATCCCTGACTCGGAGTCAAACAATATCTACCCTCCCCTTGAATGTGACAATATCACTGACCCAGAGTCAGACAATAACTACCCTCCCCTTGAATGTGACTATACCCCTGACCCGGAGTTAAACAATATCTACCCTGCACTAGAATGTGACAATATCCCTGACCCAGAGTCAGACAATATCTACCCTCCCCTTGAATGTGACTATATCTCTGACCCGGAGTCAAACAATATCTACCCTTCCCTAGATTGTGGCTATATCCCTGACCCGGAGTCAAACAATATCTACCCTTCACTAGAATGTGACTATATCCCTGACCCCGAGTCAAACAATATCTACCCTCGAAGAGATTGACAATCATTTGATATTCAAATGGTATATATTTTGTAGACTTTCAAATCATAGCAGTCTTTTGTGTCATTTAAACAGGTAATTGACCTTGAATGACCCAAAAACACAATGTAGATGTTATCAGTATGATACCAATAGGTGTGTGTATTGTACCGTTACCATGGATGCCAAAAGTGTGACTATTTAATGCTGTAACTTTATTAATTTTACTGGCAGTTTAATGTATATGAAAAATATCAGAGAAGTTTAGAGAACTTTGTTAGGACTTGGTTAAGACATGGTGACTACAGCTATCCTGAACTGTTGTACATTTACTACACATACTTCACTCACACTATACACATTGCGCAAAAATTAGAAAAATACACAAAAACTTTTTGTATATTACATGAGGTAGATTTTTATCGATGTAATTTGCCGAAACTAAAAAAAAATCATGAATTGTGCTACATGTATTATTAACCTAACTTGGACAACACTCCCCCCTCCCCCAATTTTTTATATAGATACGTGTAAAATATTGCTATTATGTCCTTGTACATTCTCTTCTTTATCAATGTGATTTCAATTCTTCAAACAAATTTGTTTGGGATATATAGGTTCTAATAATCAGAAAAATATCTTAAAATTCAAAGAAAATATTTCAATTTCTTCTAAGCCATAAAGAGAATATTTATTTACCTGAAATTTGGAAAATAAATTGATCTACTAGGGACTTCTCATACTAAGTTAATGTCATGGTTCATTTTATAAAAAACAATCCAAAGATATTTTCAAAATATAAATCAGAAAATGAAAATATGCAATAATACTGTTAATATTATGAAACTTTCAACACATGCAATATGATAGCGCATATATATATTATCATATGGTGAAAATACAGTAAAAATTTCAAAATATAAAACAAAATCTTTTCATGATTTAAAGGTGAAAATTTGAATATATATTGGATTACAAATGAAACAGTTTGGAAACCTTGTGTTCTCATATGCATTGAATAAGGATTGTACAACATCAACACTCTCTAGACACTTGTATAATATTCTCACTACTTTCTGCTCTATTGTTTTTGTAAGGATGTACATATTTTAAAAAACTATAATAACGAACATGTAATCCCATTTCTCAGGTTTTTTTGGACATTAAGTTTTTTTCAGAAGTAGAAAAAATAAACAGGACAAGGATACATTTGTTTTCTAAGAATCTCCAAATGTTGAACATGAAATTACTGGTAGTCTACCTGCTCTCATACATGTAGTGCATTCTGTTCTTGATGTGTCACCTTATAACCTCACAAACACATGCTAATGATTTGGACCTGTCTCTTCCAGTCATTACCTCACAACCAGTATATACAGATAAATATATATAGTTACACAACAAACATCTGTCTACAGACAATACACACACAACCGTTAACACCTTTTGTAAGTCTTACAATACTAATATATATTGAATATAACCTTCCAAACACTTGTGTTCCCAATCAAAATATCCTGAATGACATTACTTTACCAATGAGACAACCAGGATAAAAAAGAACATTCTTCAAGTAACCTTCAAAATACACTATATATGTTTATCTATCAACTGTATAGTTGATCCATTGAAAGTTCCATTGTACACATATAATAAAAAATAAGTCAATTTCTAATCTGAAACCAATTTTATCCAAGAGAGTCAGGGAGATTTCCCCCTGAATTGACAAGAGTTATGGGACTTTGTAGATGTGGAAGTATAAATAAAAGATTATTTACAAGCTTTTTACAGACTAAAGAACACTGCTTTATTTATTTACACACAGCCCTTCATATTGTCTTTGAATATCTCTAATGAACACTTTTATCAGACAGGTAACTGTCACACTAAGTAGACAAGAACCATCACTGTCCATGGCAGGTATCACTCTCCATACAAATCGGTCCATCATAGCCTGTATGAAGAGGTCTGGTTATACACCAAGCATCATACCATGTCATTATTCTTGTCCACAGAATCCCATGGTGACCTAACACCTCCTGACTTACTCCTGTTGTAGGTTCAGCCATATTTTCACAGACAAACCTGTCACAGACCCTGCACTCTGTGATATAAGCTTGATTTCTGTGATACCTATCAATATTTTAGTCTATCTTTGACAGCTTCAACAGTGTTCCACCATCATGACTTTTATCACATTCATGAAAAGGTAACCATTTTTTAACATGAAAAGCCTTTGTTTAAATGTCTTTCTTATTAATAAAGACTTGGTTACTTGGTACACAGGTGAACACATCTCAGTATTAATATCAAACAATGCCAATGAATCTGTGACATCTTTGTTGTACCAATACGTATCATCACTGGGATATCACAATTCTGCAGTCATCATACATACAGTGTGTCTGTTTCAGAGATTCATAACTTCAACTATCACTGTAGTGTATGAAACCGACCACAAAGTTTCAGGACTACAAGTATGGACATGTCAATCGATTGTGCTTATGGTTGTGTCCCTTGGCAGCGATTTCAGAAATTTATCACAAAAAGTCACTGGTAAGACATCTCCAGATCTCATCGTTCTGTTCGATTTAGATGTGATAACTTCAAACTTTCCAATACTGAAATGAAAATTTATATTTAGTTAACAAGAGTTACCCTTCCTGGTACATTCAACTTGAATTTCTATGGCTTTTTAACTTTTTCTAATCGCAACTTTAATTCACTGTCTTTTTTTCTGTCCTTCTGTTTCATTTCCTTTTTACACATCAGAAAGATGACACAAGTAACCTGAGATATGTGACATTAGGCATAGGTAACAGAGTAACAAAACATCATTAACTATAGATAGGTAACAACATGGGTAGGTAGCCATAGTAACATGTTTGTCAGTAACATGGTAATACTTACAATGTTCGCATGATTTGCCATAATGTGTTGGCCCACATTTGCACTTTCCCTTTCGACAGCGCCCTCCATTTAGACACGGGGTTTTACAGATGTGTTTGAGTTTGCGTCTACATCCCTTTCCTGTGAATCCTGGCAGACAGAGACACTTCTCTGGTTTGATGCACGCTGCTCGTGCACCACAGGTTTTAGTACACACAGCTGCAAAGCAACAAAACCAACCAATATTTCAACACGTGTATTTATCTAAGCAAATTAACAGAAATAAATATCAGTAGTTCTGTGCAAATAAGTATCATGAAAGGAAATGACATTATCAAAGTGATCAATATCAATAATTTGTTAGTACATGATAATAAGAAATTATGTTTACAGGAATATGCATACTTACGATTCTGACACATAGCGCCTTTATATCCCGGAGGACAATGACATGTGTTGTGACCAACACATTTACCACCGTTCACACACGGAGGAGTACAATTCGGGGATGGCAATGGTTTCTCTGTATTTACAAAACAAATAGGCAAGATGTAAAAAGAATTACCAGGTATGGTACATCGAGAAATTAAACCTTTAGGAAAGGGTATCTACAACTTTACTCTTTATTCCTTTACCTTCTTCTGTATCATTTAATTCATCAATCAATTTTCCTTGACAATTGATCTATACTTTCTAAGCCAATAAAGTTGATACTATTGGTTAACTTACGTGTTGGTGATTTGGATGCTGACTTTTTACAGCACAATACCCCAGAGGTTACTCCTTCTCTATAGGAACATCCCTTCATCTTGTCTTTCACCTTGAACACATCTATTCGACCCTGAGACAGACAGGACTGCTTAGAATATCTAAGTTTCCCACATTTTCTTCCAAATCCTGCCATGTTTCCTTTTTTACATCTGTAAAAACCAAATAACGTCTTAGGTTTGAATTATAGGGATATGAGTTAAGGATAATGCAGTTGTTTTCAATAATTGTCAAAATTTTGATCATGGTCTTAAAATCAATAAATATTGGTTGTTCTAACAAAAAATAAATAATACCTTCGACAGGTGCCTTGACGACTGGCTGCATTGTAAGCAAAACAACCATCAACATCAAACACGTCCATCCAGGACAGGTCACGTAGAACCTCTGAGTCTGTAGGGCTACACACCTTCCAGCCTTTCCTACATAAACTCCGACCCTTCCTTACATGGCCTGCCCATTTTCCAGCACATGCATGAACATACTCATGGGTTTGTAATCCTTCCGTAGAGCCATCGCGACATCCTGACAGGTGTTCTGAAAACCATACAGGAACTCATTATAAATGGATATTCCTATAGCAATCTGGGGTAGAAATCAACTCATAAGTTAGTAATAGTCACAAATATAAAGAAAACTAGTATTTACTTTAAATCCTTCTTAATGTTTTCCATAGCTCACTGTTCATGGTGTATCTCTTTTTTCAGGACCTTACCAGATAAATTGTGATCTATATGTTCCAATGATTGGTCATGTTAGACTTACCTCGGATGACCACAATGGAGCTTGCCATATCTATGCCCTCACTGTTGATGACCTCACAACTGTACAAACCAGAATCTGCCCTCCTTGCCATGGTTACCAGTAGGTCACCTGTGTCGTTAAAAGATCCAAATGAGTACCAAACATACAAGTGAAATAATGTTTTACAACTTATTACATGTTGAAAAATAAAAGTATTTATGAAGTAAAAACATATACTAGATTTTATTAAGTAAAACCATTGTACCAATATCTATAAGTTAAACAGCCTACTAGTAGTCATTAAGTAAAAACATCAAACCAGTATTTATTAAGTAAAATTTCAAAATTACAAAATCATTATTAAATACATGTTATTTCAACAGCTGTTGCCAAATGATGACTTCTGTGTAATGTAATTTGGTAGCACTAAAAGCTAGCTGTTTGAAGTGCTCCTAACAACAGACAATTGCCTGTTAGCTATGTGATGGTGATACTGTTGGTGAAACTGGTAACTATGGCTGCTTGGTACTACCAGATTAACACATCAGTGTTAACACGTAATAAAGAAAGCATTCAATTATTTTTTGTAGATGTGCCAGGTATTTCTCCTAATATTTGATCTAAGCATTACTACTCAAATACAACCTAGTTATGTAATTGGTAAATGTGTGAAGAACACATTTTCTTAGATGAAAGAATAATCAAAATAATTGCTTCAAATAATATTTTCACTTTTTGAAAGAGAATTTCTAAGTGGAGAATAAAAAGGAGATTATTTGTTACACAAGATCAGATAAGGTTTGTTGTGTGTGTGTGTGATACTGTACATAACATGATAGTCTTGTGAAAACCTACAGATCACAAGAAATATGTAACCAGGTTATAACCTTTGGTATTCAAGAAGAAATACACAATATAATAACAATCAACATACCATCTATTGCATTGTTTTCTTTAAATGATTAATGTCTACAATAGAAAATATCTTCTGTTGATTTTACTGCCATAATCAACTTAATATCCTCAATTATGGCATTTCTGTTGATGCAGTTAAAATATGATGCCTGCCAGATGAAACATCTAATGGATGTGTGTAACATGCAAGTATGTGCAAACACACACTCCAGTTAAGAGCTTCCTGCTCATTAATCACAAAACAGACACTATATATCCCATAATAGTATAATCACAGACACGGAACATCCCCATAATGCTATAATCTGTTATCCTGGTTTTTATCGGACTTGTAGACTGATGTAATGGTGGTTTCTGTTAGGCTCTCTTGTTGACCCTGCTACATGTAAAGCCCTTCACACAAGCACTTTGGAATTTAAATCAGGCTTCAGACCTGTACTTGAAAGAGGCATTCTCATGAAATATGGACTTTGCACCAAATTTTCACTGTTTATTTTTAGATTTTAATGTAAAGACCCTCAAACTTTAACTAAAAAAAACCCAGATACTCTGTGTGTTGATCAATGGATCATCTTACATCTGATTTGATTAAGTGTACTTATATCAATTATAAATGATATTGAATCAGTGAATGTCATCGCAGTGTGAAAATGTCCATATTATGGTGAGGTTTGAAATGATATTAATTCAATGATAAGATGCTACCCCTTTATCATGTGGATTATATCATGAAGATCATGTCTTTTTCTTAAAAAAACTTCTGATCAATATTCAATTGGTTTTATGTTTAGTGTTTACCTAATAAATAGGATTTTGGTTCTATGTTCAGATTTTACCTGATCAACAGGGTGTTGGTTCTATGTTTAGATTTTACCTGATCAACAGGGTGTTGGTTCTATGTTTAGATTTTACCTGATCAACAGGGTGTTGGTTCTATGTTTAGATTTTACCTGATCAACAGGGTGTTGGTTCTATGTTTAGATTTTACCTGATCAACAGGGTGTTGGTTCTATGTTTAGATTTTACCTGATCAACAGGGTGTTGGTTCTATGTTTAGATTTTACCTGATCAACAGGGTGTTGGTTCTAACAGGGTGTGTTGTTTAGTTTTACCTGATGTGTTGGTTCTATGTTTATTTTACCTGACCAACAGGGTGTTGGTTCTGATCAACAGGGTGTTGGTTCTATGTTTAGATTTTACCTGATCAACAGGGTGTTGGTTCTATGTTTAGATTTTACCTGACCAACAGGGTGTTGGTTCTATGTTCAGATTTTATGTGAATAACTAGATGTTGGTTCTATGTTTAGTTTTTACCTGAAGAGAGAATCTGAATGCGCCTTTTGCCATTAGTAATCTGCGTTCCATCCTTGTACCACTGGGTGCGAGGAGGTGGGGTTCCACGGGCCTGACAGGTCAGCAGGAAAATTTGACCAGTGGTTACTTGCATCACTGGCCGTGGTCGAACCAGGATCCTTGGCTTCTCCGCTGAAACACACAAGAATTATAGGATCTTACTGTTTATAACAATATTGTCACAAATTTTAATTAGTTTATACACAAAGATAAATGGTCAGAAATATTATAGAGGTCAGAAATCCTGTAAAAGCCTCAGTCAATACACTATAGACACTCTCTTAGTTTATGACATTTTAATTTCATGTAACATCATTTGGATGTTTCTTCCAATATTCATTTCCTACTCAGACTTTCCTTTACACTTATTCAACGTATCAATTTGCTTTGAACGTAAAAATCTGAAAGTGATGGAAAATTTTTATTCCAACCAATTTTAATTTTCGTTCTCATTTTTCATATTATCATCTTTTTTAAACAGAGACTAAATTTTTTCCATTATTCAGAGTCAATTTGTGACAGATACAGGAGTAAAAACATTTGTAATTCTGTGCTTTTGAAAGTTGGTAAACCCTACTCTTTAATAACCAATTTGGCTATTGGTTGTTTCATGAATTAATTCTAAACGACAGCAAAAGCAACTGTTATAGTACAGGTTTAAGGTTCATGTCACTTTCAGCATCTTCTTGTTTATAACAAAAGATGCCTAAAACATCTATTCTTTGAAGATTATCTGAAAAATATTGTTTCAAATACAAACTATTTTGAAATGAAAGTTGACATGAAGAGACATAATTTCTTCAGATGAAAGGTGGTTAGTAATTGTTCCATACATTTTTGAGGTTAATAACTGTTCCCTGCCATTTGTGAAGGTTGGTAGGTACTTATAACAGACTCACAGCTGATACTCACCTGCTTTGAACTCAGTTGGCTGGCGACAACAAAGTACCCCCGACATGGTCGGGCGGTAGTGGCATGCAGTATTGAAGTGGGCATCAACACAACAACTGGCATCAATCCTACCTCCAGAGATACAAGATGTCTGACCAAAGTTTTGGTGGGGACATCCAACTCCAATACCTGCTAGATCATCCTGTAAAAGAAAAGCACAGGTCATTTATAAAGAAATGTTTTCCTTTTTGTGTAATCAAGTGACTGGGTGTTGTATATTGTATGACCGTATTTAGGAATTTAATGTGGAAAGTTCAAAATTCATCAGTAACAAAAAAATGTCTTGGCCCAGGAACTTTGGAAGTAAATCCCCTTTTTCAGATCGGGAAAGAATGTATTCTTTTGGGGTGTGTTTGTCTTGGTGTAATACAGTGTTGAGCATAACTATTTCACAACACTGGCCTGGCAAACTGTATCATAAAACAGGGGCCATTTCAATCTGAATCATTTAAAAATAGGTGAAAGAATCAAGATCAGATTAACAACAAACTGATTACCTATAAACGGTTCTAAATAATGAATGTCACATTGAAATGATTTCTCAGCCATGTTCTAAACTCGTAAACACTGTATTTTACAATGTGTCTGACTATACACAGGTGACTGTAATAGATTCCTATATATCTCACCAACCTCAAACTGAAACGTTTGTTGAATTCTCAAGAAAATTATCTTACTTTCATGACACATTTCTAGTTTAGACCTCTAAACACAGACTCAGCTATGTTCAATTATCAGGCTGTGATTGGTTGTTATTTTTCTCCTAAGATAAGTTTAATGTTGTAGCGGTTGTCTACACAATTAACATTGTTTTACAAATAATAGCATTTACTGGGTAGTGAAGGTTGTAACCCAGACACCTGTAGGGCAGGTACTTAACTAACAGGTAATCAATTCACAGGTAGAAACTTTACAGGTAAATTCTCTCTATAAGGCAGTATGAAAAACACCAACTTAATTATAATATACAGCAAAAATTTCATTTAATAACCTTGAAATTTTCAACTGTAGACTTAATCCTCTATTTTTGTTTTGTATTGTTTGTTTACATTACACAGTGAACATTCTGCATGCAAGATATTCTAAACGAAACAAAAATAAATTATGAAATGAAAGTTTGTGGACTACCAAAGCTGTATTACAAGAATATCAAATGAACTGTTCAGCACATAAGATGACACATGTTACTAGATTTCATTGGTGTCCATGTTTATTATCGTTTAGCCACAGCGATTATAAATCACTCAATGATTAAGTTGTTTCTTTGTTTAAGATAATATCCCTTTTTTTCTAATAAATGCCACAGTTTTTCTCCTGCCAACTATTCCAGAAGCTGTTTTAGTACATGGATCCCCATGTGGGGCGGAGTATAGTTTTTACATTGTTAATCTAATCCAGCAGGACAAACAGTTTAACTCTATTTTGCAAGATAACTTCTTCTGTGGAGTGCAAACTAGGACTCGTAAAAATCCCAGTAAATTGTTGGAGGACGGATGTGGTAAACAGATACACATGTGTGTGAATCAGAAGCAATGCTGGATATTCCCTCTAGGTGTCATGTAAGTTGTTGTCTGCTATCGGGTGTGTATTTGTACGCCAACATAGCGTACCTGAGAGCTTGATGGGCTGAATCAGGTGGTTTACAGGTGTACATTCTACCTACATTAGTGTCCATTAGTCTAATATTACTGCGGGATACAACTACCCACCAATTATATTCCTTACCACAAAGTTTAGGCACCATTGATTAAAATTGACAAACCTCAAGGGCTGTCAGGTAAAAAATATAATCAGGAGTGTCAGGTGAAAATATATAAACTAGAAGAGATCCAAGTGGGCCTGTTGGCACCTAACCTCACATAATCTTTATTGGTTCTACGTAATTTGGATCCTTGCTCTACTTGTGTATTGTCAGGTGTGTGAAACGTATGGTAACATTTGAACCAATTTTGATATATCACTCCAGTACTTACTGACAAAATGTAAATGCAGTCTTTATCTGTGATAATCCTATTAATCTGTTGACTTTTCCCTGATCACTTTCAAAACTAAGAGGGTATAGTAAGGGAACAAAGACAGTTTATATGGAATTGGTAATTCATCCATCAAAGGAAAAAAATATCAATCAAAAAAAACTTTACATTAGTTTGAGAAAGATTGATTCTACACGTTTCAAATAATAACAATATGAAAAATTGTCACAGAACAAACAGGCAGTGCATATAATCAAACAAGACAGACTATTGACAATAAAAAGTTGTTACAAGACAAACAGACAATGGATATTAAGAGAAAAAGGACAGACTATTGACAAAGAGTGAAGTGAGGTCCCAGCAACTGATGAGTGGTATTCTTAAGGTTGATAATCAAAATTTAAGCATCTTAAATTTACTGCAGATTGTTTTCTTCCTGTTAAGTAGTTAGCTTCTACTAGTATAAACACATTGTGGCCTAAAAAGCCCAGAGATAATAAATCATAAATCATGATATTGTGATCCCACTATAGTAGTCTTTAATTCTCCATCACAGCTGATGATGGCAGATTAGCAAAATCTATGGCTAAGAGAGTTATATGTTGAAATCCTTCTCTGGTGAACATGCCAAAATCTACAACAAAACACGCACTTTTGGCAAACAGTGGTATGTTCCCTTTCAGATGATTATAAGGAAGTAGCAGACGGCGACTGATGAAGTAATGCTAGTCAGCTTGATACAATATTTTGTATTATCTATCTTAATGGAAATACCTGTCAATTCAATTAATTCATTCAGCACCATTTTGTACTGTAAATTGATTTAACAAAATAAAATTACAGTTCAATTTTCAAATTTTTCTATGAAAAATATAGCAGTATTTATGTACATCTGACTTCTTTTGGTTCCTTGTACATTAAGACAGGAAAATATGATATGTGGATTACTTTTAATGGGGAATGGGCTCTATCTGATGTGGACGGAGCACATGACGTGTTACTCTGGCTACTATGCTGTAGACTTCCCCCTTGCGGGACAGAGTCACTGGGTATGAAATTAAGGAAACTCTTTCACAAGACCGCTTCTTTATAATTGAGATAATTATGGCGTAGATTACTTAAACCTGATGTCCTTTCAAATTGTCTGGTGTCAAAAATATTCAAGAATAATATAAGGAAAAAATGCAGACTGATGTTCATTCACCTTGAACATGAAGTGGAAAATCTTCTGATTGCATTCATTACATATCACAACAATACTTTGCCAAAATCCTCAATATTTTTTATGTGCAAATATGTACATAACTGGGACATTCCTAATATAATTAAATGACACTTAAAAAATTAGTGGACACACATGTGTGAAAAGGAAATATTTTCTGAAAATTGCAATGACTGATAGAATAAGTGTTGATATGGACACAATATGGAATGGTACTTAGCAATGTTCATGCCTGATCTATAGGCTATCAGCTCCTTCAAGGTGTTGACAGCACATGTAATGGAATACAATATAAACTGACTCAGTGTTTTTTGTGTAACAAATAACTTGTGCGACCTTAAGTAACCTTTAACATGTCATTAGTCAACTACCTTTTGTTTTAGCAACTTTGAAGTTTTGTATCAGTGGTGTAATTACAACGACCAATGTCCCCTGCCGGAGGTGTTGGCTTGTGTTATTGTTTATGTACCATGGCACTGAATACAAATTCTGCTAAGTAATAACGATACAGCATATTATAGCTTAAAAATATATTGTAAATGTATATTAATTATTGCTCGGTAAACACAATGTCTAAATCTATATATATATACTGATTGTGATTAAATATTTCACATACAGTGAGACTTAAAAAGATATTTTTCCTCCATTATAACGTAACAGAAATCTTGTGATTAGTGTCTTTATGAGACAGAATATTGTATTCACAGATCATCTATCTATGGGGTAGATAAACAGAGAAACAGATAAGACTTAAATGGAGATATTTGTCATGTTCATTAGATAAGACTGATGAGGTCATTTATAGGTGTTAACACAGTCGGACCACATTCCCGCAATCCCCAATACGTAATAAACAGAATTCTACTGCCATATTTTCTAAAGGTTTTACGTTGACACTTTCTAAAGAGATTTGTGCATTTTTCTATGCTTGAAGGGCACAAATTAAAATGACATGATTTTATAAAAGACAACGTAGGTGTGAACATGTTAATTTAACAGACAAATATTTGGTGGTAGGGGGTAAGAGTTGAGGGGTGGGGGTGGTGTATATTTGGGGTGTCTAGTGAGGTAATATCTACGTTGATAGAATCACTACCATGACACCTTAGCAATGTTCTGTATGACTTTTGTCCAAATTTCTAAAGCTGGGAGAAGATTCGGATGCCAGGGGGTATGTACCATATTATCAGTGTGTCAGGGTTTATTTACTTTAAAACTTAATATCATAAACCTTAGTATATTACACAGGGCCAATCTTTCTCTGCAGGAGTTGCACTAATCAATGGACATCAATAATCGATCGTTATGTGTACCCGTCAGATCTCAGCAAACACTCACATGAAAATTGTTGGAAAATTAGTCAAAATATGTTGATGTTACTAACAGCGAAGCTTGAGCTTCTTGTCATTCTTTTGTACTTTTTTTGGTGTGATTGCTATTTATGGATTTTTATTTAGAAAAATACCATACCCAGTACTTATTATTTACCATTCAGTGATAATAAAACTTATTGAAAGGCACCTTAATTCATCTATATAACTAGTGAATGTTGGTGTACATAACTGTAAGGGTTTTGACCACTATAAAACGTTTCAACTTTCATCTGCTCTAAGAAAAAAAAAAATCATCCTTATATTTCATCTATAAATTTTCTTTATTTCTTCAATGTTCAATAGGCTGATCTCAGTGTATACTGTTTTTGAGGTGTTGAGTTAATTTTTGGAAACCTATATCTCGGTCAGACCCTTTCCTAACAAAGGCGTTGTTATGTTAACATCAAAAGATCTGTAATTACAGGAACAGTCGACATAGCAAGAATGAAAGTATGCACACGACGGGCCAAAGTCGTTAACCTCCACCTACAGGTATGATACAGTTGTCGATACACCTGCCCACCAGGTTGTAAGTCGTAGGTAACATTTTTAAAAATCTATTGAAATAAATAATTCTCTTTTGCTGTGAATCGTTTTAGATGGAGGTTGTCAAATTTCATGGCTTCACCCGACAATAACGAATTGAAAATTTTGTGTTTTATCAATGAATCAGTGTTAACTTAACAACAATGAAATCTGTATCCATTCCAGTTGAACAACTATGATATTTCTATAACATAAGCAAAAAGATAGCCTTTTATCAACCCTGTTTTAAAGTTGCTCACTAATTAATTTCCTATAAGTAATTACACTGTTGTGCTGTGTATTTTGTGTTACACTGTATTTATCTCCACAAGTAAAAATAAAGCAAATTACAATTATGTATATGTTACATTCAGAAAAGTAAACTGTTGTGTTAAGACTTACTACTAAATCATACCCCAAAATTCTTTATATCTAATGCAATTGGAAGCTGGTTAAAATATTAATCCTTACACTTTCTATGTCGTCTCCACATTCACGACACTTTCCACCATCATTTGCAGCATTATAGGCAAAGCAACCATGTATTGACACAGCATCCTCCCATCGTATATTTCGTAGACGTCCTGCATCCTGCCAAGAACACACACCCCATCCCGGGGCACACAACTGGCTGCTGTTTCTAATATGGCCCTGCCACTGTCCACGACATTTAGCCATGTCATCGTTGCCAAAAATATATCCGAATGAACCATCTGCACATCCTGAATCTGAAATACAAAACAAAATATAAAATTTTGATAACAAATAGAAATATAGTTATTAATAATGAAATCATGTTTGGAGATTCATGCTTTCAATATTGCAATATTACATCAAAGCATTCCCATAAGTCTTTAAACTTGGCTATAGCGTTGTACTGTATATATATACCCATAAAAAAATGTACTTCTTTGTTTTTCATAAAAAAAACCCCATTTTTATGGTAAAAGGAAAACATCGCTTTTTCATAAAATAGAATCTGAACATATACAGAAAATTCAATACAATGCCTAATTAGTCGCGAAAGATGACCCATCACTAAACAACATGTGATCTATAATCCTGTACATAAAAAGATTACTATTCCATGAGATAGTTGGTTTACTTTGGAATGTATTGTGTTTTCAGCAGAGTAACGATGGATAATGAACTCCTAAACCACAAATAACTCAAATATCTTTATCATAACAATATGTAGCCAATGACAGAAGGGTAAACATGAGAATCAAATTTTATATAAATTGATCTACACAACAGTTATCACATTACGAGGGCTACAGGTACAGTTTTTTGTTAAAGTACAGATACTCACATACCACAGAGCCAAAGCGTTTCTAGTTGCTTCTGCCTATAAATCTTACACTAGCTGTCCGTGTGATGGTTTTACCCCATAACCACACCCATCGCTATGTACATCCACCCTCACCAAACTTTGTCAGTAACTGGACCACTGAGTAAGATCAGGCACTACACCCAATAGGTAAAGGACTAGCTGTATAGACAGTGGATACACTAGGATCAATGCCTTACAAGGCTTCTAGATATCTCACCAATAACAGTACTTAAAAATGTGTCTGAAATATCATCAACATTTATTTTTATACTTTGACATAATGAAAACTGACAATATAGCTATAATATGATATGTTTGTGGTAATGTTAATATGCATAAATAACTTCTAGATCTTAAAACATCTGCAGCAAGTTGAAAAATATCTCATTATCATTTCACTGAAAACAATATTTTACAACTTTTTCAATAAAAACCATGTTATGTGACCATTTCAAAGTAAATTTTGTGATATCTATGTCTCATTCACTCCCTCCCTGGTTATGTGACCTGTGTACATCCAGGTGAGTGGTAGCCAGGTATTTTTACCTGTGCAATATGTCGTTACAGGTGGCGTTACTAGAAAGAAGTTGATGCCCTGTTGAGGGTATCAGCTGTCTCTAACTTAGCATGTCGCTTGTCTTTACACAATCTTATAGGTACAAAAACACCTGTATGTGGTTTTGTCCTATCAAATACCTACAACCCTCCTGTTCTCGAGTGACATTTCAAACCCCCATAGTAACACAGTAAGGTCATGAAGGAGGCTAAATCAGAATACTGGGTATGTAAAAACACTTCCTCTGTTTCTATATTTATAGATTTTAGGACAAAGATTAAGTCAAAAAATAAATACTTGACACTCTATCTATATATATTTACATAATGAACCTTTTTCTTCAATCACTCAGTGTGTATGAGATGTTCTATAAGTGATAATTGCCATTGTTGTTGGGCACTCTAATCGATATAATCAAGTATTGCAAGACACTTGAAGCATAATGAAAACAACCAATATCATTTGAAAACTAATTATCACGCACATATTTCCCTGTCTATGTAAAAACCTGGAGTATAAAGTACACAGGCCATTCCTGTACCGTATAATGAATTTCTCTCCAGTACTTTTACAGTGTTAGGTTGGAACTATTCTTTCATTGTATTTTAATTAACATTATTACACATGATATGAAATTAAAAAACAAAAAAAAATCAAAATATCTAAATTTGTTTAGAGCTAAAAGTGCATATGAGTCAATAGTGCTTTGAAAAAATGCTAAGTAAAAAAGTGTGGATGACATTTTAAATCAACTTTAAAGGAACGTCATGGAGTACAGATACACACTGACAATACCCTGCCACAAAAAAAATACTTTATCTCACTGTTAAAGTCAGATTATGAAACGAAAAAATCTCATTAAAAAAGGGCTATTTGACTATAAAACATCTGCTGTATCTGTGTGAACTGCTCAGTGTTTTACAGGAGTTAAGTTTGGACTAATGACAGAAGTCATTTCCTCTCCTCTATAATCCTGTATATATGTTTAATATTGACCTGTTTAATAAACCAGACCTGTATAACTGGGATTTAACAGTTGCGATTGAGAGATTTGCAGTCCTACCTTAAAGAAGTAAATGCTTTTTTAGAAGGGAAAACTGTGCATGTGGTAGATTACTAGGAGAGTGTGATTTCTGATATTTCAATGATGTGTACGTTGCTGTTATTGCAGCTGCATGTGTTATATTGTACCTTTTCTCCAAGACTGTAGTGGTTGGGCGGTGGCCACAAGACTAAGGAAAACAGCTGACCAGGTGAGAAGATAGCACTGTCGGCAGAATACCAGGTTTATTCTGGTGCAATACTCCATCATTGCTCTTATGTTTTACCACACCTGAAACCAAACAAAGGAATTCTATATTACCAGGAGATTAGGTATTAAGCTACTTTTTTAGGTATAAAATGAGCTATATTACCACACCTGAAACAGACAAGAAAGCCATATATATAATACTAGAAGATGTTTGGTATCATTCTTTACACCCAAAACATATAACACAATAACTTTTTATGTATCACACTTATCATGTATCATCACACCTGGACTGCTGGAAAAATGTAGAACTTCATCTTAATATCCAAGTATTTCATTGAAATTTATAATAAAATTTCTGCAGAATCATTCAGCTGTGAGTGTATCCTTTTGAAACGTGTATTTTTGTCAGACAAAATGTATTGAAATATTACAAAAATATGACCCATGTAAGGAGAACGTAATTAACAAATAAAAAGGTTCTATCTACCACCATTGTGTACCAGTAATTATCTGAGTGTAGTAATTCGCTGATTAGACAGGTTGTCTATAAAGGGCAAACATTTATTAATTAAGTATAAATTCTTCTGGTATTGATATGTATTGTGATCGCATTACCTGTGAGTCTAATTAGATCTAATGAACAAGCACCTGTTAATTGGTAACCTGTACACCTGCGTGCTGATAGGGCATCTGATAGACAAGTCATCTATATATCTGATTCTTATTGATCAAACCAAACATACTGTATTACTATTTCAGCCAATATCTATAGAACTGGTATCAACACTTCTAAGCTTAATTCAGAACAAACTTTGAATGTACGTGTTTCCAACAGACCTGGACCACAGATTCACAGAATCTTAGTCAGGGTTTTGACTTCCATAGCCTATCACTAATTTTCCACCACATTCCCAGTCCCATATTTTTCCTGGTTGTCCATCATCTTGATCCCTGCCCTCTGTGTTTTCCCACCCTCAGCCTGGTCCCTGCCCTCTCTGGCTATCCTTGCTCTCAGTGGTTGTCCACCCATGTTCTGATCCCCGCCCTCCCAGGGTGACAGTAAATCCTTGCCCATCTGAGTTAAGCTGTTACCTGGCCGTAGTTGATCACAGGTATACTGATACAAGTGTTACATTTATACCTCAAGCATTGTTCAGGGTTTAAATAGACATAATTTTCACAGTTTTAAGACTGAAGTACGTGCTGATGTTCACTGATCATGATGTATATAATGTCTCAGTGTGGGCCCCTAGTAATATCTCTAAATCCTTCACACCACCTCTGGGAGGGAGGTTTTCACCTGTTTTTATTCCTCTGGGAGGGAGGTGGAAGGTACAATCCTAAGTCCTCTCCTGGAAAGGAGGTTGGTAGGTTCAATCCTATATTCTCCCGTGGGAGGATCGCTTATAGGAAACAGTTAAATAATATCTTACCCTCTTGTACTACAGCACCACAGACTTTGACTTCAAGGTATTTTCTGGTATTCATGACATGGCAATACAACATGAAAAATTCTAATGATAAAGCTAAAACCAGTTTAAGTTGATACAAATATCTACGACCAATTCTTAAAACAGAGTTACCTTGAATAGCAATTAATTATGTTCACCAACAATGTTACAAATTGCTGACAAATAAAAGTACACAAGCTTGGCAGATAGATTAAGTTTTGCTCTATTCTCTCTCTTGTAAATCTTGCCGAGTTTTATCTGCAAGTTTAGGTGAGGTAAAATTTGACAATAGTGGGGAATTATCTGTAAAAGACAGCCTTAATACCAGGATTAGGTAGCAAATCTAAATAATAGTCACACCAACCACACAAGAATCTTGAAATCGTGACAAATGTCGAACTCTTAAGTAAAGCATTGACCTACCCTCCAAGGTATACTGGACAAATTATCAAAACTGAGTCAGTAGTGTGCTGGTCAAACCATTACATCTTAATCAGTAGCATGTTGGAAATAAAACATTAAACTGAAGTCAGTAGTATGCTGACCAAACCATCAAAACTAACTCAATAACATGTAGGAAATCCCATTAAATTTAAGTCAACAATCCTTAAAACTGAGTCAATATTTTACTTATCTGTTCAGACATATCTATATAAAATTGTATTATGATATAGCAATTTTCTTAATTTGTTGTAATACAGTAAGGCAGTTAAGCCTCTTCAAATGCTTTATGACTATAATCATTTGCTTTTAGGAGTTTTTATTTCACAAAACAGGGAACATTATGAGTCGTTTGAACAACAGACAAATAAGTTTCTAGAGTTGGAACAACCTGCCTGTTGTAAAAAGCAATTCTAGACACTATAGAAAATGGAGTTCAAACACAAGTTTTCAATTTTTAATGTTCACAAATGAAAGGCTTTTAATTGAAATTCCAACCCTTGTAATTGAAAAAAATCTCAACCAGGGAATATTTTTGATTTTGTTTTAGATCTTTATTTAAATCTATTTCAGATTGTAAAGTATTGATTTTTCTATATAAACCAGACAAACATAAAGAGTACGAAGTAGAAGTTCTCAAAGTTTGGAAGGCAAGACAGTGTTCATTAGAAAGCACATAATTAATTATATATAAAGATATAGAAAATACAGTGAAAGTCAAAAGTGTTTCTTTTCATCTTATTTATTTTTTGTTTGTTTAGTTTTGTTTTGCTAGAGAATTTTGACTTCATTAAAAGCTAAATCCATATTATTTTAGAGATAAAATCTTTCGATTAAGTATAAGTTTTGTTTTTTTTTGTCAACAGTTTGATTGCCCGGTAATTATTATATCACCCAATAACTTTTTATATCTTTTTTAATTAATGTTTTGTTTGTATTAATTGTACCTGGGTAAACATTGTTATGCCAGCAAATAATTACTGCTTTCACTTCCAATACTTGACAAGCATGTTGAGAGAAAGAAGGAGAGACATAGTGCAAGGAATGCTTATAGGCTTATCAACTATATATTGTAAAGAGGTGGAATTTACAAATTAAGAAATGTCAATTTGATTTTTAAATCCAAGGATGAGTGTGACCTTGATTGTGTAATCATAACTTTTGACTTCATTCCAGGTACTTAATTAAAAATTCATATTCTAATAGGAAAGCTTAATAAACTGATAAATTCTGTGTCCTCCACTTCATTTTCCTTAAACATTTCTGATTTTGTATCAAGATTTTTTCACACTGCTATGAGGCACTTCTGACTATTACTCTGGGACCTTGCTTCAGTATCTGTAGTCAGATTAACAAAGGCCCTGTGATGTCCCTAATTCCACATGAAAAAGAAAATTCTTATGACTATAAAAATTCAGTTTGCTTATTTGATGAAAGGCAGTTTTATCTGATTAAGTTAGCTACAGACACTGGTAGCAGGCACACACTTCTAACTTAAGTCAACATGTAGCCATCAATACTATCCTATCACCTCGTATGACCATCCAAATCAACAAATTCAAATTCATGTCACAGATGTTAACAAAATAATGTGTTAAAAGTTATACAACACCTCCACAAAAACATGTACAAAATATTTAATAAGAAAAGTTGGTGATGCCTATCAGAGTCTGCTTGGATTATGTAACTTAATATATCTGTACCCATTTGTGTGTTAACTAGTCAGCTAAATCACCCAAAGTCTACTGGCCCCATCCTTAGCATTCCAATGTACCCTTACACTCTTCTGACGAATTTCTAAAAGAAAGTTAAAATTTCTTTTGTACTCATACATAGGAAACTCTGAACATTATTATAATTGGTTGCATTTATTTATTTTTACATAAAAGTTCTGTTAAAAAAAAAAGTGAAAAAGAGAAAAATTCTCCTTTTGGATTAATCAGTGGAATTCCAAACTGAAAACAACAAACATTTACAAATTGCGTCAAACAACATTTTGTGATTAAGTTCAAATGATCAACTTTCATGACATTTCAAGCACCAGCTGTCTTACAACAAAATATTTTGCATTTCTTTTTTCTGTAATGATAAATACATTGCTATTATAAAGTTATTATTAAAAGCTACATAAGTAGGTTGTTACAGGTATGTTAGATAATAAAATATTCCGTCATGTAAAAACTTACCTTTTATTATAAAATCTGAAAGTTGTAGGGATAAATTCCACAGTTTCTGTAGAAAACTTTAGATTATGGCGCTCTATTCACAGGTGTACTACAAACTGGTAGAATGGCTTTCTTACATCCCAAAACACAATTCATTATAATGTTCAAACGAAAATCCAAAACTGAATCTATTAAACACTGTTTCATTTAGGAACTGTAATACTAATGTTGAGACACTATATAGTTGCTGCAGTAAAAAGCGTTGGTTTTTTCATATCATCACTCTTTTGAAAATATTTGGATGTTACAAATTTTTCTTTTTTTCTTTAAATCCTATAATATCTCTCTCCCTTTATGTATATAAAAAATCCTCAAGAATTTTTGCACATTTGTAACGTAGTTGAGGTATACACTGTAACTGGTTGAAGTACTGTCCTGTATATGCTCCTGTAGTAGTAAACACTTGTTGCCTGTCCTATAGCTGTGGTGGATATAGTTAGGTCTGAGGTTTCCTTACCTATAACACTACAGTATGACAGGCATCAAGTATGAATGGGCCACTTGCTCTGTAGTCATACTATTCTGCTAACAGGCCTTTATCATTGGTGTAGAAACTTCCACACACTCTAGTGGGTAATACACCGACCAGGCCTACCCTAGGTTCTATAGTCACTGGTCAGGTGTGTATACCTGGAGCAGACAGATCTACCTATGTCACACTATGTCCCTGTACGACCAGCCTGTCGTGGATAGATAATGATCTCGGAGACATGCAATGCCCGTGTCCAGTTATCTGTCCCTCCTCTATTCCAATAATGGAACAAAAATCACTGATCGCACGCCTTATTAACCATTTACCATTCAGAACTTTTGTTAATCGGAGATAGATATGTACGAACGAGCATATAACAAACCTCAAAACCGACTTGATAGTGTTACCGTACCTTTAATGAAATACATGCAGACGCGAGGACAATCACCGGCGGATCGACGTGGAGCCAGTGCCACAATCACATGACACCTCATATTGAGGTGTTTACGTTTTGTAGAATTTATGATGCTATCATTAAGAAAACAACACGTTTAACAAGTACACTTAATTGTTGTCTTTAAAAAAATAATTAAAGTCATTATTTGCTGCGTCATTATCGGGTATATTGTGAAGACCTTAACGTGAGAGAAAAAAAACTTGAAATTCCTCAAAATCGGAAAATCTTCCTGGCGTTCACATTATTATCTGGCTGTGATCACTCTTAAACCATTGTTGAAATAAACAGTAAAGAAAAAGGTTTGAAATTCTTGCTGAGCACCCAATCAGTTACCTGGATGATATACCAGGAAACGACAACATGATGAAATCAACCATGATTACGGTCCCCCAGGTTGACTTCACATAAAACACTTATTCTACATATATTTCTATTTCAGTGAACCTGGTTGAATTTAGAAATAATTTCAGTGATCAATCAAAATTCAACTTAATAAATCAGAATATTTCTTACATTAAGTTGTAACAATCTAATATCATTAAGCTCATCTTGTTTTTAAAGATGAATTGAGAAACCCAGGTGCCTTAACCATGTGGACAAGGTAAACCATACTTTAATTGTGAGCTATGTAATAATTCTTATCAAAGGAATCGAAGTAAAACTAATTATCATCAACAAGCACATATTTTATGGACAAAGTATACAACACATTATAAAATATATCTATCATACAAACAATTTGTACACAATATTTAAGATAAGTATAAAAACTTTAAATATGTACAAAATGTATGGAAAATGCCTTTTTTATCCACCAAGTTTGGCAATATCATCTCGCCTATAACTGTCAGTCAGTAGAATTACCAATCAATACTATTTCATTGTCTTTTAATAAGCCCACCCCCAGACTTTGGGTCAAAGTAATTGTGTTGTCCCCTGGGATTACTGCAGGATAAATATGATATATAACTTTTCTAATAGACATACATATTTTAAACATATCATATAGAAAAATATTAAATATCATAAAAACAATGTATAAAATATCATATATACAAATATAAATATATAAAAACAATGATAAAATCATATATAAATATTATATTGACAACATATGAAATATCATATTACAAAGTATAAAATATCATTAGAACAAAGTATAAAATATCATTAGGATAAAGTATAAAATATCATTAGAACAAAGTATAAAATATCATTAGGATAAAGTATAAAATATCATTAGAACAAAGTATAAAATATCATTAGGACAAAGTATAAAATATCATTAGAACAAAGTATAAAATATCATTAGGATAAAGTATAAAATATCATAAGGACAAAGTATAAGATATCATTAGGACAAAGTATAAAATATCATTAGGACAAAGTATAAGATATATGATATTATTAGTATTTTTAACTGGTTGAGTGGTTTGAGAACACCTGTTTGAGTTGTTTATAAAGCTAACGAGTAGTACAGTGGATTGACTGACATATATAATTATTAAAAGAGCGTAAAGGAGGATGATTTTATAGTACCTTATTATAGGAAATATCCATACAACCGTCACCATTATACTGTCTAATTATGTTTTATACCTCAGTAATAAAACCACCTCTGATCAGTTTCCATGCTTGACTTTGATTGCAGACCTTTTGTGGAAAATCATAGTCCCTAGTGGAAGGTCAAGAATATAAGTGGTCCAGGTGGGACCCTAACATTACCTCGATGTTCTTTTCACCTTCATGTAAAATCAGAGACAGATGATGATACAACCTATCAATGTATTTGTTTTACCTGTGCATGTGAATATATGGTTGAGCGATGATTACAGGTGTGTTTCTTTCATCACCATGCATGTAATAACTATAGGTCTTATTGGGAAATAAAACACTGGACCTATGCATGTCTCAGACATCTACCAAGTATCAGTCGTGCACTGATTACAGGTATTAAATGTGAATTGTTCCTTTTACCTGCATTCACTTCATAATCACTAGGAAAAGACCTAGCCCATCTGTGCAGGTATGTATACAGGTATATTACCATGTAAAACTTAATAAGAATGTCCAAGTGAAATGGATTATGATCACAAGTAATTCAGACAGGACAGCTGATGACACAACAGGTGTAACAACAGGCAAGACAAGACGAAATATAACAAAATACAGGTGTTACATCAGCTATATCACTAACAGTGAAAGGGCACTTTTCAATAAACAAATATCACAGGTCTATGTTTCTAAAGCTTCATCTTATAAACTTTTATTGACACATTATGTTGTAAAATAAGTAGTGCTCAATGCCCCACTCAACCATCCTTATCCATAATAGCAGAACCGATAGACATTTCTATGGCAGTTTCTTTATTTTCCTTACATTATGAAGTAATTTATATTCGAATCAACAACACATGAAACTATAAAAAATTAATATCCTGGAATGTTTTGCTTCGCACCAGCAGTAACCTTTGTATCACTGAATTCCTTAACCAGTCATTGACAGATCCTAAATAACTGCTCCATGTTGAAATTACCAGTAAATGAGAGAATTCTTGTGAAATGTTTTCCTGTTCGAGAGTTTATATAGATTTCTGCTCAAATATATCTGTCAAAACTGAGTCACTTGATGGATAGGAACAAACAATGAAGAGCAGTTGTATTTTAGAGATAGCTGAGGTATTCCTGGCCTTGTAACCATTACAGGTAACATGGATGCCTCATCATACTATTACACCCCTGGCCTACAAATCACCCTGAAAAAACATTCTCTTCACCATCCACTCACACACACCTTCCTCATCATCATACTGACATACCATCCCCATCATCATCATACAGACATACCACCCTCCTCCTCATACTGACATACCACACTCCTCATCATCATACTGACATACCACCCTCCTCCTCCTCATACTGACATACCATCCTCCTCATCATCATACTGATATACCACCCTCCTCCTCCTCATACTGACATACCACCCTCCTCCTCCTCATACTGACATACCACCCTCCTCCTCCTCATACTGACATACCACCCTCCTCCTCCTCATACTGACATACCATCCTCCTCATCATCATACTGACATACCACCCTCCTCATCATCATACTGACATACCACCCTCCTCCTCCTCATACTGACATACCATCCTCCTCATCATCATACTGATATACCACCCTCCTCCTCCTCATACTGACATACCATCCTCCTCATCATCATACTGACATACCATCCTCCTCATCATCATACTGACATACCATCCTGCTCCTCCTCATACTGACATACCACCCTCCTCCTCATACTGACATACCATCCTCCTCATCATCATACTGACATACCACCCTCCTCATCATCACACTGACATACCACCTTCCCCATCATTTTACTGACATACCACCCTCCTCATCATATTGACATACCACCCTCCTAATCATCATACTGACATACCATCCTCCTCAACATCATACTAACATACCACCCTCCGCATCATCATACTGACATATCACCCTCCCCATCATACTGACATATCACCCTCCTCATCATCATACTGACATACCATCCTCATCATCATCATACTGACATACCACCCTCCTCATCATACTGACATACCACCCTCCTTCCCATCAGAGAGAACTCTGTCATTCAACATTTCTATCTAAGACAGCAAATTTGATATTACACAGTCAATGACTCTTAAAATAATAAATTTCAAGATAAAATGATTACAGGAGATGAGCACCTGAGTTCAAAATCTTTAAATTTGAGGGTGTAACAAAAAAGAAAATATCATCATAAAATGTTTCAAGCACTTTTTAAATTATTTAAATTTCACTTTTGATATAATTCTGACCATGAATAGATTTATCTCCCCTGAGTATGGTGATAAGTTGTCAGTAAATCTCAGCACTTCTGTGACAGGTCTCACACTGCAGTGATAATGTACTTGTACATGTATACATTTAGGAGCATTAAATAGACAGGCTTATCTCCACACTCCTCTAGGCTGAAACCCCACAAAGCACTTTTCAAATGTAGGTGTAAAATGCTTGCAACTTAACATATATTTTTTGCTTCATTATATCCTGTAACTGATCTGTGTCACTAAAACTCTTCAAACATACAGAGAGATAATCAGTAAACACAATAACAGTTAGAAAATAGTTTTTTATTCCTGCATTATTTCCGACATTGAAGTGTACAAAAAAATATTTAAGTTTAAAAGAAAGTCCTGTACACTAAGCCTTAAGCAGAATTAACAATGATATCATGTTGTATTATCTCCCCCTAACCTGGAATACCACCCACTGAACTTTGTTCATAATATCAAATGTCAAACCATATTCATGAATCAAAATATTTTGCATGTTTCTTGTTTTAAAAAAATGACATATGTAAAGTACATAGTAAATTTCTTTTCTAGATTTCTTTAAATAGCCAGGTATTATTGGTGCCTCATCCTAACATTTGGTAATGTGACCGATATATTGGTGCCTCATCCTAACATTCGGTAATGTGACCTATATATTGGTGCTTCATCCTAACATT